GCAGATGAATGACAAAGTCTAATATCCATGAACTACCCTCCCTCTGATAGGATATGAAAGAATCATAAATTTTCTTGACACTATCTTTCCAGGATTCGTCAAGGTCTCCCCTTTTTAAGGCTATTTGACAATGCTAGTTCCGTTTCTTCCATCTTTTGCTTTTTAAATTGAACCATAATGGAAGCGTACCATTTTATGCCACCTTTCTTCTTCATTTGTTTTTGTAATATCGATTTAACTTTGTCCTCCTTTTCTTTCAGAAAACGCAAGGGATCAAATCTGGAGAGTCCACTTGCATTGATGTTTTTAACAAGTAGTGTCCCATTCAACGCTTCCTCTTCATCAAAATCGCACATTTCATCGTCTGACGTATTTGAAGTTTCTGTCTCCATTGGCTCATCCTCGTCTGAGTTGACATTTTGAGCCGAATCACCGTATGATGTAGATGGTGCTTCTGTACTTGGTTCACGATCTACATTATCTTTTGACGATGTATCCACTCCTGCTCCATACTGATTGACATTGTGTGTCTCCCTGTGGGTTTTCAAGTTGTCTTTTCTGCTAAATGTCCTACTACATATTTCACATTCATAATTGGTCCCTTCGTGTATTTTCTTGTGACGTGTAAGATCATGACTGTACGTAAATGATTTCGGACACGAATCACACTGATATGATGGCTTTTGATGAGCGTGTTCAGTCCTTCTATGTCTTGATAAATGTGTTAAATGGCGATATTCCTTGGTGCACTGCTTACATTTGTAAGTTGTATGTGCAGCAGGCATCGTGAACCTGTAAACAGTAAAAGTTTAATTTACAATAACATAAGTAGATTGTAATGTATAATGTATGTAAATACTTTATCCTGACAAAATAATAGTACATGTATATGCGTTGATATTTCTATGTATTATACTTTAACATCGGATTTGCCACCATACTTACCACTTATTCTAAAACGAATGATATCCCTTCTCTGTCTGTTGACTATGAATTTTGTTTCACCAGTCTCCCTTTATATTACAGTATATATATCCAAATGTTATTTGTAATATTATTCTTCCAATATTCTTAGATCCTATATTGTCAAACTCCAACTGTAAAAGAACACTTTACTTTTGTTCCGAGATATTTATAATGAAGGACCAGTCCAAATAGTTTGAAAGGTTAAACAGGTTAAACTATTTCATTTGACTTGATACCTCAAAAATAATTCATATTTACAATACTGACCCTGTGTACTGGACGAGTCCACTTTTCCTGAAACGAGCAAATAAAATATGTCTTGAATATTAAAGTGTGAATTAATGTGCTGCTGTCACTGACTGCACTTGACAATATCAAAAAATGCTATGACAAATCTTAATACATAAAGACTCTAACAAAAGATTATTTTAGCAGGTCTGGGCATAATTTATAGGAGAATAATTTAAATAGAAATAGAGTATGCCCAGACAAGGCTGATCTCCTGATCATAACATCCTGTTGCACATGCGTAGAAAAGCTTAACCTCTTTAAACTAAAATCAATAAAGTACTTACCAGAGCAATGGGCTTTCCAGAGGTTTGATGTATATCCTATATCTAATTCCTACTCGAGTATATGAATACCAATGATATGTTTCATTAGTAATAATCATATACAAATTAAATTTCTGTCATGAATTCTAGTGAAATCATGACTTGAACTTTGGAGTGTTATTCATTCTATGGTTACTACAGTGCTTTTCATAAACTATTGCATATGTACATGTATACGTATGAAGGTTGCCAAGAAATCGATAATAGGTTAAATATAAACCAAACACACTTAAATTTGGAGTGAAATGACCTAATCTTTATTGGTTTATTGATCTAAGCATGGTCAAGGTGGATTGTTCAGTCTGAGTTTAATACATGTACTCTTATCGGAGTAAATGAAACAGTGCGTGCGCATATTATTGTTTTGATTCTAAAGTTGGCAAGTTGGGACAATCAGCTGACTGATGGGTTGTATAGATCTTTCTAACGACTTGTCTGGACTAACATTCTTCTTTATCAATAAATGGAGATAATACTATGCAAAATTTGTTCAATCAACTGGCTGATGTCGTAAATAAAAATTATAATTTTTAGGATTGGGGTCATTAACTACATAAGGGTTAGGGTTATTCCCCTTGACTCGACATTTACTAGGGTTGTCTCATCTTCCTGCTCAAACAAGACTGCATGATGTCATCGATATGGCTACTTTCACGTTTCCTGCTATGATGTCATCCACTTGCCCAGGCACAGTTAAAATGGCTGAACTTCCTCTATGATATCATTAACCTGTTCAGACGACCGAATAAAAGATGGCTAACTTCCGTTTTAAAACCTGCCCAGGCCGATTAAAAGATGCCTCACTTCCGCTATGATGTCACCCTCTTGTCCAGACAGATTCAAAATGGCTGACTTCCTGTCAGTGTTGCCTCACTTCCGCTATGATGTCACACTCTTGCCCAGACAGATTCAAAATGGCTGACTTCCTGTCAGAAAGCTTCAAAATGGCTGACTTCCGGTTTTAGGTGACCAGCCGTGACCAGCCTGAGCTCATGGGACCAAAATCTCTACTACTTCCAGTATAAAGGAGAATATTTTGAGCATCTAATGAAGGGACATGCTTGTAAGGAACTTCAATTTAAAAATGCAATGTTTTAAAGGGTGTACTTAATGTGCAACTGATACATTTATGACCAATCAAAACAAAGTAATTTTTTTTTTGTTTTTCAATGAGTTGGAATTTTTCTATGATTTCTGAAAGTTTCAAGGAAAAACATTGAAAAATAAAAAATGAGAATGTTTTTGCATGAACTTATTGAACTACCTGGTATAACGTGAGAGATGAAGTATTGTATAACGTTAGATATGAAGTATTGTATACTAGAAATCACGGTCAATACGTTCAATTGCGTATTGTTTGATAACCCCATTATATTTGCAACGCCCGTAAGTGAAACACCGAATAGAAACAAGTGATCGTCTGTCACAAGTAGTACGCTGTAATTGGAGGAAGAAAAACGAAACTTCGCAAAATATTTCAAATAAGCCGAAGAAGACACGCCGACGAACAAAATGACTACATCAAATTCAGTATTAGTTTTTGTCTTCTTCCTCATGCAATATGTCAAGATTATTCTTTGCAAACAGGGGATGATAGAGGTATTTGCAACATCTAAACCGAATACTAGGTTCATGGTACCGCCGATTGATACAATTCTGGGCGTTTCTACACAGATTCATTGTTTTTTGACGTGCGTGATCTCGACAACGTGTAACGGATTTAATTTCGATGTGGATTCCTCCAGATGTGAGTTATTTGAAACTCTAGATTGCACGAACATTGCCAGTTCAACTGGATGGAGATTTGGTGTGATTAAAAGAGGTGAGACTTTTTCATTGGATGTTATAACTTTTTATTATACAGGGTGTTCAAATATTGGACCGCCACAAAATTAGTTATTTTGACTTTACTAAGACTTGGGTACTTTTTATCAGTCAAATTATGATTTTGATTCAATGCCTGGTAGGATCTAAAAGTTTCAGTTTGATCAGGTACAGAGTTTTGAAATAACCCATAGGTGACATGACATACTCCAAGTGGCGACCTCACCTGTACAGACATCTGGTGGAGAAATGGTGAATCACAACTGTATTCTTCACAGTTTTTTGCTCGATTATAAATGCTATCTTTCTTTTAATATCGGCAATGGTTATTTGGGTTATCAGGGTAGACACTATCTATTAGATTAGCCTATTAGTTACGTCTAGCTCACATAAGTTCCGATACATCGTATGGGCGCCGGATCGATTAGTATTTTTCAACATCGGCCGGACATCAAACGGGTGCCGGTGTGAAAGAAATTATGGTCCCCTGGGGATTATGGTCCCCTTTCTTATAGGCCTTTACTGGCCCCGATTGTGGATACGATAATCAGGGAATGAGTTGTATTTAGGTCACCATATAAATCATGGAGACAGCATACAATTTGATACATTGGAATTGTACGCTGCTCGCACGAAGCACGATGATCGCAAGATTGTCGCACGCCACCCCGTCTGGATATCTCCATTTAATTTATATTTATGAAAGGGTAATTGTAATACATTTTGATTCGTGAAAACTCTTAGAAAACTATTTACCGATAAAAATCGAGTTTTGTTAGTTCATTGGAATCCCAGGATGACGGTGGATTGTCTCTGATAGCCGTAGGATTATCGTGCGATGATCGTTCGGGTGTGGGCAGGGTTGGCTGTGATAAGTTTGATTGAGAGAAAATTCGGTGAAACATCTTTTTGTCTTAGATAAAATTCTCCCGTCGCCCATACGATGTCAAAAAATCGACCGGTGTAAAGGGGTAGGTGGTCCTATCAAATTTTGGTCCTACTCTCTATTGATTTATTTGGTGACCTGATTACATTTATTTTCCTTATTATTTATACACAGTCAGGGCAAGTAAGGGCCGTAAGGAAAAGGGACCATAATTCCTAGGAGACCATTATTTTTTTCACACCGGAGCAAACCTGAAATTTTTTATACATCGCGAATAATCAATCCATAATTTTGGAATTTTTAGTCTGAGAAGTATGGATATAGGAATGTCTTAGAATCTATATTGGGAAGAGTTCATTTTAAGTTGTAAAGAATTGTGAACAACTTAACTCATTACTGTGTACTTCCTTTTTAAATCTTGATAAAGCTATTTGGATGATAAGCGAAACGTCGAAAATAAAACATTTTACTCTGAAGTAAATTAACTAAAGTTATTATTAACTTAACTCCTTGTTATTTATTAACTTCGTTAATATTATAATTGACGTTATTTATCAATGGACCTTGCTAGGATTTTTCCATTGCCTTTATCACTTTTTCAGGTAACTCGGAAACGCTCAACGGCTATAGAAATATAGCGTTAAATAAACCAACTTATCAATCTAGCACCTATATAGCTCAATCTGGATTAATTGGTTCCCCTGGCAATGCTGTAAATGGTAATACAGACGGGTCTTGGACCGGGGGATCGTGTTCGCATACATATAAAGATCCAAACGAGCAGCCATGGTGGATCATTGATTTGGGAATGTCATATAACATTCTCAAGATAGTCATATGGAATCGATCTAGTGTCGGTAAGTTGTGTTGTATGTCTTACATTAAAAACATTTCATTCATTCATTGAATATATATTGGGCCTCTGTGGTAAGTTAAATCATGAAATGGAGAAAATAAAAAGTTAGATAGAAATACCCCATTGATAAATTCTGCAACAGATTAATCACATAAAGAATAAGGTGCACTACAATGGTCCATAGTCTTGAGACTTAGAAATACGATGGACTTTATTGCTAATTGTAAATTTTACGTTTAAAGGTAGTCGACTCCACGACTTCGCTGTTGAACTTAGTTGCGAATTTGACGGAGTAAACGCTGATAGTCCATCCTGGTCGAGAAAATATTTGCAAAATGGAACACTGGAAAACAACCCGACAGCGATTGCATTCCCGGAATCCTCTGTTGGAAGATTCATCAAGATACAAAATGCGTTAGATAATGAGTCTAGTCATCCATCCGCGGACACTTTGTCCCTGTGTGAATTCGAAGTATATGCCGAGTATGCTGACTGTGAATGTGAATTTGGCTTTAATCCCTAATACACGTGTCGTTTGTACTGTTTTGTGGAACAATACGAGTTCGCCGAAGAATTTTTATAAAATAGCATGCCTGTTATAAAGCGACGTAGCTACCTGCCTGCCTGTCTGCGGGGAGGGGAGACAAATACATTTCTACAAAAATATATGGTGATATTGTTTTGTATACATCTGAGAGATATGCCTAGGTCCATATGTCTTGATTTTTAAAGAATTAGAACACTTTTTTTGCACTTGTAAACTAGGTTACCAATCAGGTTGGCGTGTGGTTTCATGCATGTGTTGCTTTTGTGAGAGTGAGTATTGTTATTGTGGTGCATTGCTGGGTGTTAAGATTCATTCTGGGCTTTGGTTACATGAGCATAAATACCCTACAGAATATGTTTTATGAAATGCTGATAGGTGGAGGGGTCATTTCGAACCTTTCCTAATTATTAAGGTTTTAACGGTGTGAAGGACCCACAAAATCAATCGTCACCTTCAATTTTCATTGACTGTATGTTGATATTACTCACCTTTTAGTAAATGTAATTCTTATGTAACAATCTGTGTTACCAATTTGTAGTTGGCATTTCACATATCTTAAATACGAGTATACAGTACTGTTTTGTGCATTCCATGCATTCCGTCTTGTTACATACGAATAAAGCGACCGGAAGCCATTTGCTTATTCTTTAAGATAATGTCATGTTATTTTGTAAAGTATGAAAGTATGGTATAGAATATATTGGTATTCACACTGTGGCTGGTCGAAATAAATGGATTCAGTCATGCACATGTTATGTAACAAAAGTTAAAATGTACATTATAGGGTTTTGGTTCATTGCAAAAATATAACAGTAAATCGAGGTAAGTGATTCCAAAGATTCTATTTAACATGATGTCTTGAAATCTTGAATACATATTCAATATAAATACGAGGGTTGTCCCGTAAGTCTTGACAACCCTCGTAGTATAACAAATTACCTATTAGATCTAGTAAACATATGTAGATTTTCCTTATATCAAACATGAGTTTATCACCGGGCTTCAAATGCGTGCCATTAAATACTCTAAAATGTCATATTGTTGTTGAATTATTGTTGGCGATTCGAATTCCTGCATGTATGTGGCAATATTTGCTTTCTCATATTGTATTCAGTGAGAGTGTCAACTATTAAAAATACACAAATTCAAAAATAGTCAATTATAGTCTTGTAAGTTTGATGATTAAATCCTATAATAACGTCCACTAATCCAATGTTACTTTATAATTAAATTGCGTTTTCAAAACGGATATTTCGTACAATAACCCCGAAAACATTATAAAAGGCATTGGATTTGTATCTTCACACAATTCACACAAACATTTTGGATACATGAGATAGTTATATAACTTCTATGATTTTTTTCCAGTCTCTAATTTTATGTAAACCTTTGCAAATTAAGGAACCTTCTCACAACTTTAACCGTTGATAAAACCGGGCAAGTGAACTCGTTTGAGTTATATATTCGCCGTAACTGTATCGCCGAATATGTGTTTATATGTAGCAACAAGTTGGTAAATCAATAAAGTATGATATACACGGATGAGTTAATATAGATTATTCAAACCAAATTACACAATTCCTCCATTGAAAAGTAGAGAGGGGTGAACTTTTGTTACATAACATGTGCATGACTGAATCCGTTTGTTTCGACTAGCCACAGCGATTAAAAAGAAAGTAGATAGAACATTGTTAAATTTTTATTTTAAAACATAGAGACATATAGATGGTGTACTGTCCAAACAATTTCTTAAATAAAGAAAATGAGATTATCGGTATTTAATTATTTCCACATTGAATCACACGCAACTGAACAAGACCTCATTTCGGGGGAACAATGGCGAGCTGAATTATCCTTTTTGGACAGCCACACAGACGTCACACATTGCTCAAGTCAATAGAGTAAAATATGAGCCTGCCAATTACAAAATAATACAAGTACTAATACCCTTAAATAGGTTCGGCAAGGTGGTCGATTTGGACACTGTTTCTTTACTTTTTTTCAACCAGACCATTGTATTATCGACATCATTCTGCATTTGCCTTAAATAGTTCTCGCATCTCCCTCTAGTGCTGCATAAAATGTGGCTTTTAAAAATATTCGAAAATAATTAACATCTAGGGGTGAGTAAAAGCATCATGCAACGATTCAATTCAGAGTTTTATTGTATTGATAACCTATTTAAGGTGTTTAAATAAAATATGAGGAATAAAGTATTATTTAAAAAAGAAATCATGGTCGATACATTTGATTGTTCGTAGGGCTTGTCCCACATTGTTAATTGATAACCCGACTGGCAACGTTAGAGATAGAAACAGTAAACACCGAAAGGGGTCCGGTCGTCAAAAGTACATTGAAAGATAACGAAAAACACACTTTGCAACATATTTCCAATCAACTGAAAAAGACACGTCTTCTAACAAAATGGAAACATCAAATTTAGTGTCAGTTTTTATCTTTTTCATCAGTCAATATGTCAAGATTAGTACTTGTAAACAGTGGACAACAGGGGTCGTTGCAGCATCTAAACAAAATACTAAGTTCATGGAATCACAGATTGATACAATACTGGCTATTTCCACGTGGACTCATTGCCTTTTGATGTGCGTGCACGCAACAACATGTGAGGGATTTAACTACGACGCGGATTCCTCCAGATGTGAGTTATTTAACACCGTAGATTGCACTCAAATTGACAGTTCAGCTCAATGGAGATTCGGCCGGATTAAAACAGGTGGGACTTTTTATCATATGCTATTACTTTTCATTGTATAATTCAATAATATAAATAGAAATAATGAAAATGCACGCAAAAACTTCCTGTTGATAATAGAACCAGCATTTGGTGTTTAGATAAATTGAATATCATCTCTAAAAAAATTTAAAGAAAACTGATTAGCGGTCAAATAAAGAATGATTTAGATTCAAAAATCAACGGACTTGTTTGGGTTTTATATAACCTTTTTCATTTTTTTTCAGATAAATCCGAAACGTTCAACAACTACACAAATATAGCGGTAAATAAACCTACTTATCAATTTGGCCCTGGTTTATCTGGAAAGGCCGTAGATGGCAATACAGACGGGAGTTGGTATGGTGGATCGTGTTTTGCTGCTGTAGGAAATACAAACGAGCGGCCTTGGTGGATCGTTGATTTGGGAAAGTCATATAAAGTGCACAGGATAGTCATATGGAATCGCTTAGATTGCTGCGGTATGTACGATTTGTGCAAGAATGTTACAATTCATATACTATATATATGAGCCTTTTACGACCAAAAAAAGAAAATTAAGATTTAAAATACTCCCTATCCATATAATAGTTTTGGCAAAGTTTGCATTGTAAGACATATCAAACGTTATCAATATTTGAAAATTGTTCGGTGTTTAAATAAAGGGATTTTCGGTTGCCAGATCTTGGAGTGGAGTGTAAAAATATTGCAATATATTTTTTGATGAAGAGTGAAAAATAATTACTATATTCTACAATAATGCTTTTTTGCCACAATGAAATATAAACATTGGGGAATAACCTTTACTTATACATTAATACCTAGAGGATATCAAAGCAACTTTATCCTGCGCTAATATAAACTTCTTGTAAATAACATCATCTCCATAACGATTGTATTATAAGTACATGTAACAGTAGACAATGGTGTCATTTAAATTGAATCAAAATTAAATACTGCGCTACGGTCCTCCGTCACGCACATATTATTATCAATACAGGCTGTAAAATAATCAACACAATAGACTGATCATTTGTTGTTATGCCAGCGTTTATATATTCATATTTGATTACGTTTATATTAAAATATAAAACTATAATTATTTTGGACAATTTTTTCTGTATGTTTCATAGACATTTATTATTGATTATTTCTCATCGTCCTGATTTCTAGAGAACAATATAATATTATTTTTTCCGTTATTCGGATACAAATGTTTTGTGAAGAGAGGGGGTAGTGTTACCTAACGGGATGGTAATATATTTTAAGAATCCAATCAAATACATTTAGTCTAGTAGTTGTGTAACAAGAGTCCACACTGCTCTGGGAAAGCTTCCATGATATTCACTGTTTTTGGAACCTTTTATGAGCTAAATATTTGTAGCTTAAAAATGACATTTGTTTGTTATACTAACTTGAATACAGCGAGAAAGACAAATGCTATAAAACAGTCATAAAACAAAAACGTCGCTCATATCACAAGTGTCATATTTAACGTTTTTTTCAAAATAAACAATATTTTAAAGAATACACCGAGAGGTAATGGTTAATCGCGGTGTTTTTTCGCCCTTGACAAAATTCAGACCATTATGTCTGGAGATTATGGAATTAAAGTACACTAACGTGGAAACAGGCATTACGCTATATAGGTCATGAATTCGCTACTTAGTTATACCATGGACTTAATTTCTAAATCTAATTTTATGTTTATTTTAAAAGGTGATCGACTCCACGACTTCGCTATTGACATTGGTTGTGAATTTGACGGAGTAAACGCTGATAGCCCATCCTGGTCTAGGGCATATTTTCACTCGGGGACGCCTGGAAGCAATCCGACAACAATTTCATTCCCACAACCCCCCGTTGGAAGATTCATCAAGATAACGAATGCAGTTGAAAACAACTCTGCAGATCCAAGTGATGACACTTTGACCATGTGTGAACTCCAAGTTTATGCCGGTAATGCTGACTGTCAGTGTGAAAATGGCATATAATGCCTATACGTATTATACGAGCTAACGTATACACTGCATTGGGGAAGAATAGTGTCGCCGAAGATTTATTCTAAAATAGTAAGCCTAGACCTAAGTAATTATCCATGGCTACATTTACGGACATTCCTCATAATCACTACTTAGTTGAATTTACATCATTTATCCTCTTTATATTTGATGTTGAGGCTATATGCTTCTTGTGGGCATTGACATATAGTCCATTTGTCACCCCTATACATCCAATAGTGAACCTAGAAATTGTTAAAAGTACGATGTTTTATGGTCGATTTATGATAATAAGGGTTTTCTGAAGTGATTTAACTGGGTTGCCCAAAAAGTTTGTTTGGGGAAAAAATGATATAGGCTGATTAGGGAGGGGTGCAATCACTTAACATGGCGTTGACTATTAACTTAGCGTTTGGATACCACCATATACCTGGTATGTTACCATGGTAATAGATACAAAAAATTTCCCCAAAGTTATTTTTTGGGCAACCCAGCTAAATCACTCCAATAATCCCTAATGATAGTATTTACACAGAAAAACATCATACTTTTAAATATTTATACGTTCAGAAAATGACAAATGGACTAATAGGCCTATTTATAAATCCCACATTGCAAGACACAAATGAGTTTTTTACGTAGCACAAGTGTTTTACACCAGAAAGCCTTTTTAAAAAAAGTTATTGAGTTTTACGTCACACGTTTTTTACACCAAAATGTATTTTTGCAAAATGTTGTTTTCTTCATTAGTCATCTATTTGTCAAACTTAGTTGTTTTTAGGCAGCGTTGCTAAAACTGACAAAAACAAGTATCAGACGTCCAATAAAATTGTATATTCGGTAATGTACCACTATATGCACTCAAGTTATTTTCACTGTCAATTTGTTATTTGAGTTTATATTGCAGATTTTTCAAGTTTGTGAATTTTGACTGCAATGCACTTACCTCGATACTTATTACGTAATACAATTATTATTTAACATTGACTCCAAATCAGATGCACAATGTTATTTAATATATTAGCTCTCTTGAGCTCATATGACAAATTTGTAATAAAGCTATAAATACGTTTTTATGTATTCATTTATTTATTTTTTATTTTTATATTTAATTAAAAATTTTGTTAACATAAGTTACCTGTTGCATTACATAATAATATTTCTCTTGGAGAGCTCTATTTTAAAATTATAGTACAAGTCAATAGTATTATAAAACCCTAGAGTATGTTTATGTATACACCACTTTGCAATGAGTATAATATAATTTAACTTGTTAGTTTGAACATCATCTTTAAAAATGCCTTGTATTATTTCATCTTCTGACATGTTATACATAAAGTGTTGTTTAATAATACCCCATAAAGGTTGAATAGAAGTACATGATGCAAATCTGTGCTTCACAGTATCTAGCACATTATCAGCACATTTTGTACAATGAGGGGTTTCTTATTCATTTATTTATGACATTATTGAAGAATATACAAGTATGTGGCCAGTAGCCAGTGGCATCATAGGTTAGCATTATTGGAATAATTACATTATATTGGAAATTACATTATTGAATACTGGAAATGTCTTGATAGATTTTGTACAAAATAATAGTAGTGTCACACTATTTCTCAGAGGAGAAAAATAAAATAATTTCAAATTAGGATTCTAAAATAAAGTTAATAAATTTGTCCTTTAAAAAAACAATTTTCTTCTGACGTCAGTTTGTTTTCAAAAGTTATGTCCTCAATCCTGTCTGTTTGCGGGGTAGATGGTTGCTAAGGTTGTGCTGCTCAAGCGACTCTGTAAGCCTTTGTCGGCTGGTTGAATAGCGATGGCATTGTAAAATGAAATGCTTAGCCGATTCACTCTCACCACAAATACAATGATTATCAGATATTCCAGTAAAATTGTGAGCAAATTTTGGGGATTTAAAGTAAAGCTGACTTCTTATTTTGTTCAAAATAATTTCTTGGTCAGACTAGGTTTTGAAGTGGTGCTAAAGTCACGAAAGGAGTGGTATCGATATGGAGAACTGAATTCTACAATGTTTTTCTCTTAAACCAATCATTGAAAACATTCTGTAGGAAAACACGGTATTTTATGTAATGTTGACTGATTGACAAAAATTTAATGCCAAAATTATTTAGAAATATTTTATGTAACTGTTTTTGTTACCATTTTTTGTTTTTTGTGCAGCTGTTTTTGCTCCTTTCTACCAATTCTTGAGAATGAAATAAAATGTCTTTCCGAACCTTGTTGGAACAAAATAGCATAAACAAAATGTTTTTACACCTCTCAATATTATAGTTATACAAATGAATTTTTGGTTGATTTTAAAAAAGTATTCAAAAAAATAAAATAAATATCCCCCCAAAATAGATAAAAATCAAGATAAACCTTTTATTTCATTAACAAGATTTTTTTTGAAAATCAACCAAAATTTTCTTTGTACAATTACAATATTGAGAGACCTTAACATGTTGTGTTTATGTCGTTTTGTTCCAATGAGGTTCGGAAAGATGTTTCATTTCACTCTGGAAACATGATACCAAGAACAAAATAAGTGTTTGATGTGTTTTCTAAAATAATATAGATGAAAGCATATATATATATTTTCAAATTATATTGTTACCATTCAAAAGATGACCATTAAACTGACGATGTGTTAAAATTTCAGATTTCTTTTTTGACTGGTTTAAGAGAAACGTGTGTTGAAACAGTTCTCCATATCGATACCACTCCATTGCTAGTTTTTTTTGTCTAACCTTAGTTTTGAAAGCTGAAATTTTCGGTATTGCTCTTTCTTCAGCCGTGAAAGTATTCCATTCTTTAATCATTCTCAAAACAGGCGATTTTCGTAGGCGAACACTTACTCTTGCTGGAATTTTGAAAGGGAAATAAGCCATTGGGTGTCCTACTCGTTCACGTCTGTATTTATGGAGAAGCATGTCTCGGGTAGACACCTCTAGGGCCTACCTGAGATATGTGCATATGGCCGTAATGCCATCTATTTTATGTAAAATAAAATTTTGAAGCTTTAAATAAAAGTTCACGCCAGTGAACCTTAGCACCAACAGAAATGATTTATCTTTTGTTTAATTCTATTATACTAGTGGTGAATATAAAGGTATGTTATGGTTCTTGTCTGCAAGTATCATAACAGTTTTTATGTGAACCAATAGGATTCCTTGGATAATTTGGGTTGGAAGCTGATAGCTAGGAACTTTCCCTGGCACCTCACTTTGCGCCAGTACATTTAAGACATAAGTTCTGTTAGACAAGTTTTCAAGTAAGAAATTCATAATTTAAAACCCTCCTCCAAACCCTATCCATCATGCCACCTCTCATTGCAAGTTGTAATGTAATGGCTGTGGTGCCATCTATTATACTAGTGTCAAATAATAGTTTCAGGTGACCATCATGCCATATATTTTATGTAAAATAAACCTCTGGTACCTACTTGAGATATGTGCATATGGCCGTCATGCCATCTATTTTATGCAAAATAAGATTTTGAAGCTTTAAATAAAAGTTCACGCCAGTGAACCTTAGCACCAACAGATATGATTTATCTTTTGTTTAATTCTATTATACTAGTGGTGAATATAAAGGTATGTTATGGTTCTTGTCTACAAGTATCATAACAGTTTTTATGTGAACCAATAGGATTCCTTGGATAATTTGGGTTGGAAGCAGATAGCTTGGAACTTTCCCTGACACCTCACTTTGGGCCAGTACATTTAAGACATAAGTTCTGTTAGTCAAGTTTTTAAGTAAGAAATTCATAATTTAAAACCCTCCTCCAAACCCTATCCATCATGCCACCTCTCATTGCAAGTTGTAATGTAATGGCTGTGGTGCCATCTATTGTACTAGTGTCAAATAATAGTTTCAGGTGACCATCATGCCATATATTTTATGTAAAATAAACCTCTGGTACCTACTTGAGATATGTGCATATGGCCGTCATGCCATCTATTTTATGTAAAATAAGATTTTGAAGCTTTAAATAAAAGTTCACGCCAGTGAACCTTAGCACCAACAGATATGATTTATCTTTTGTTTCATTCTATTATACTAGTGGTGAATATAAAGGTTAATTATATAGTCGGGTGATATGTTGTTGCAAATTTTGAACATGTTAAGAAAGTTTTTATCCCTTCTCCGATTTTCAAGTGTTTTCCATTTTAGACAGTTCAATGTTTTGATTGTGCAGGACCCTTGAAGAGCTCCTGAGCAAATGAGAGCAGCTTCCGTTTAATGTGAAGTTGATCAAGTTTTGATACATTTTGAAGAGTACTTTCTCCATAAATAGAGCTAAAATAATCCATATTGGGGTAGTACATGTATGTAGAAAATTGTAATAGTTTCGAGGTGCTTTGAATTTAATTCGATCACTGTTCAACAGCTGGGTGACTCTGACTGCAGTTAGCTTCATTCAAAATGATTGCCGAGATTCTTTCCATTTCGACAAACCTCCGATTTCAGCTAAATCAAGTTGAATATTAATACCAAAAGTTTTGCCATGCATTTACAGTTAATAACACTCTGAAAATGACTTGTTTGATTAATTTTTAGATATAGGATATAGCTGGCCAATTCAGGTATAATTTCCATTGTAATAAATAGTAAGTTCAGTGTTAAATAAATAGCTTTCAACTATATTATGGATTTGTTTGACTTAGCGGAAGATCACCCACAGACAAGTGTTTAATGCTGTCAGATCTAGCAAGTTTCCTGAGTACTTTACCATTCACCAACCAGGCTTGAGCAATGTCATCATGGTTTTTCAATTCATATATCAGCATTCTGTTCGATTTATTCTGCTTTGGCCGGAAATGGATTATTAATGGTGAAACGAAATCAAAACTTTTGAGAAGCGTTCAACTGTTACTGAATATTTAGTAATGTTGCTATCAAATGCAGGGATGGCGAATGATTTATCAAATATATTTGAAGATTTAATTTGGAGTAAATAATTAAAATGAGTGATAAATAGATTACTTTCGTTCTGCAAAAAGTTTGCCATTATGGAACCGTGAAGTTTGAATATGACGTAAAACAATGGTTTGGAGTTCTGTATAAGTGCGTGCCCATTTAACCCTTCCATTCATTTGTGGTAAGATATCCGAGCTAGCTTTATTAGCCGATTATTGAGCTTGTCAAAGGTGTATAAGCCGACGGCGCATTCTCTCTCTATTGATGTTTGTTTACGGTATAAATTAGCCGATTGTTTTGGAATTTAGCCTTGTGTTAGCCGGAAATTCCACAACGTCAGGGAAATCAGCCGAATCTTTTGGTCAAATTTATGAGGACAGAGCTTTTAGCCGAATTGTGTTAATTAGCCAAAATTTTAAAGACGATTGGTGCATAAACGCTTCGTTTCGGTAACAAAATGTCGGAACGTCGAAGGTACGATTTTCCTTTTTTCCTTATTTTACGCGTTGTAGGCAGAATCCCCACGACGTTTTTCCCACAAACGTGTATCAGTATCATATGTTTTAGAAATGTACATGTTTGCGAAAAAATAGCTCAGAAGGCAACAAAATCGTCGATTTAATTCCTCACTTAAGTTACATAAACGGTTTGGGTTAAAAGTGCAGATCTTTACTGTTTTTCGAAATACCGTTTATGTAACTTAAGTGAGAAATTAAATCGACGATTCTGTTGTCTTCTGAACTATTTGTTCGCAAATATGTACATTTTTTAAACATATGATACTGATACAAGTTTGTGAAAAAATGTCCTCGGAATTCTGCCAACAACGTGTGAAATAAGGAAAAAAAGAAAAATCGTACCTTCGATGTTCCGACATTTTGTGACCGAAACGAACCGTTTCGGAAACCAGCGTAATCGAGTGGATCACCAGCATGCAATAGTACTCGTTCGTCACAAAATGTCAATGAGTGCGAATAGCAAGTATTTATTTGCTACATAACAAACTCTGTTTGCATGTGATACCAGATATTGGTCCAAAAGGTCACGACATATCTCACTTTAGACATTACGGTTGAGACTCATCCAGGGGTGCAACTTCTCTTTAGTGTATACCGCCCTAAATATGAACAGAGCCCCGTCATGGGGTAATTTTTATACCAATCAGTCCGATGTGCAAAACTAAGGAAGCAATAAGGATCCAATAAATATTTTCACAAAATGTTATCATTTTGTAAAAACTATACCAAACAACTAAGATCTATCAAAAAGATCTATCCATGAGCAACAGTTTAGTGACATCATCCAAGCGATTCTGCGTAACTGACTTACAGTATATATACGTTATTTGGAATCATGTTATCCATGACATCACCGTCCTAAAATAATTAATCAAAATTAATAAAATTAATCAAAGTTAAAATACAATTGTTATTTCAACAAGAAAAGTTTCAAGTCTATTAAATATTTTATTATAGCGTTGTAGAAGCTCCATACATCTAGGAGAATGTCAAGCGTATGTATGTTTTTAGATAATATCATATGTAAGAAATTAATGCTGTATAGAATAAAAAAAATCGAAGCCTGTATCTAGGTGACAAACGAAACTGCGTGTCAAGTTTAATTTATCCTAGTTTAAAAGGTGAATCAGATCCAGCATGTCAGCAAGCTAAACAACAATTGTTTCATTTACGAAGGACTGTTGACTTTTTGAATTGCCTATGGAATTCGAGACTGAATTTCGTTTATTTAACATATGCATCATATCTTTTGTGAGTTGTTAATTAATTGTATTACTTTAGAAGATTTTAAATCTTAATCATTTATTTTTTATTCATTTATGCACAATCTCATGACGTAAGGGTTACTATCTTATAGTTCTTAATTGCCATCATCGAGTTAAGTTTATAATAATGGCGCTTTATGCTGACTAAGTTACATGGCCGCTAGTCTAGAACCTTAAATATGGAAATATTGGAGCGTAGCCAGGACGAGGTAGACGAGGAAGACGCTTGCCTCGTTGCTTTTTAAGTCTTCGAAATAGTTTTTGCCTCGTCGTTTTTTTCTTCTTGGCTATACCCCTGTGAATATATACTTGTATATTATTTCCCTTCACGTTAGATCATCGTTTTAGATAATCAGGGTCTATTTTTTCTTATAACAGGTTTCACTTAGAGTTTGCTTTTCCTGTTGGGTTTCTTTAGAGTTCTTGGTCCTTTCCCTTCAGCATTTGACCTTAGATATTAGACTGTCTTGGCTCATATCAATCATTCCTCGTCACTTTTATTTTCTGAAAAATATCCCAAGTGCATCCTTTTTTGGAAAAACCAATGATTTTTTCACAATAAAGCATTATTTTCTATAGTTATTGTTGCCATTTTTATCATTTGGGGGGACAATTTTAACTTTTTCCCCAATAAGTGCACTTTGAATCCTGAATAACTTTTACCAATTTATAACATATAATGGACCGTTTGGGATATATTGTATTTGTGATCATAAGGAATAGATTGGTAGGTCGATTATATATTTGGTTGCATTAATTTTGTCACCCCATATACCTATATCTTATTCTGCCTTTAATTACTGTAAGGTTTGGGTATCATATTCAAGCAAAATCGTCAGAATGTATATCTGAAAAAAATATCTAAAATATTTTACGCCATCTTTTTTGTTTTTTGACATTATTTAGGAAGTGCATGTCTGACATAATGTTTAATTGAAAAATCAATTTTACAAAACATTGATATAACATAGAATACGGTTAAGATTAATTATTCATGTCTTATACAGTTTGGAATAAAGGTACCAACTCGACTTACGCACTCCTCATATTTTTCTATTCAATCAGTGAACATATTTAATTATAAGGAACTTATTTGTAGTACTCAGTACAGTTCACATTAATCCTGCCATATTAAAACTTGAAATTTAAAGACAAATATTCCAGATAGAATGCGTAGACCATAAGCTAAGTAACACTTATTATGTTATAGCCTAGACCAAAAGATGGGGAATTCGATTAGTTTTATTAAGATATAATAATATAATTCAGAAATTGTAACATTTTCTTATTGTGACACAATCATCCAGATGCCAGTAATAAGTTAGTAACTGGTGTTACCACATATCAATAACATGTCAGATATGGTAGAAAGTTCTATTATTATTTATCATGTTCTATTCATTAAGAAAGCATACAAAAACAATATTTATAAAATCGTCTTTGATAAGCCAAACATAACTAACAACTAGGGATGATCATGAGTCAACGCATCATGCAACTATTCAATGCACATTTTAATAATATCTGTAAAAAATTTGGAGTATTCATTAATAAATAAAATATGAGATATAAAGTATCGTTTATAATAGAAATCATGGTCGATACATTCAATTGTCAATAGGACTTGCTCAATATTGTTTGATAACCCTTAGTAGCAACGCTAGAGATGTGAAACAATTAATAGCAATTTTTTTCCAAACGTCATAAAAGCCGTGATGGGATAGCAAAAACGAAATGCCACTTATTTCAAATAAGCTGAAGAAGACACGTCAACTAACAAAATGAAAACAAATAATTTAGTGTCACTTTTCTTCTTTTTCCTCTGGCAATATGTCGATATTATTACCAGCAAACAATGGACAACAGGGACCTTTGCAACACCAAAATTAAATGTTAAGTATTTGGGACCGCCGGTTGAAATAATGCTGGACATTTTTACATGGAATCACTGCCTTTTGATGTGCGTGCATGCAAAAACATGTATAGGATTTAACTACCATGCAGATTCCTCCAGATGTGAGCTTTTAGAAACTGATGATTGCGAGATCATTGAAGCTGGGTGGAAATTTGGTCGGATTGAAAGAGGTGAAACTGACTTTTAGTCGATATCATCCCTGAATAGATTTTAAAAATCGAATGTAGGATAAATAAAATGTGAATACTGACACAGCAATGCTTTAGAATTAATCATGTGAAAAGTTTATATAAAATTATTCAGAATGAGGGATACAAGAACATGTTCTGTCTCTATGCTATGCTTTATATTCTATTGATATTAGATTATTAAAAACTTCAAGGGATTATGTGATTTAATTGTATTAAGTTAATTTAGTCGATCAACTCATAACTCATTAGACCTTGATAGACTGCGGACTATTCTGTAGAAGTGCTCTAGAAATGGATCTCGCTTTTCATGGAAGGTCACACATTCCAACATATTTCAAACAATTTGTATGATTATAATAGACACTTTCTGGGTAGTTGGACTTTATGTAGGGGTGGCAGAAGGCCCTCAGGCCAATTTATACCCCTACCCCAACAAAACCTTGGGGGTACTTTAATACCACCCAATAAAAATAATACTAATGCATATCAGATATTCATCGTTTTATAGTTGGTAGGGCATGCCATGGTTAGTCAGTGCCAGAAATTTCCAATCTCTGACTTATATGGTTACCATGGAAACAGTATTTATATCTCACAATCTTCTCAATTTGACCCCGTCCCAAATGTGTCCTTAAGTTCTCAAAGTGAAATATTTGCAAATCTGTTTGGATTTTGTGGCTGCAACTTTGTCAAAAGTTGAATTAATATTCACACTAAAGCACTAAAAACTTGATATAATGATCTCATAAATTAATAATATTTATCAAATGTAGTCACACACAACTGCTTTTAGGGAAAAGTGGGCGTGGCACTTTTTGGTACCTGTGTAATTGTTGCAGCATTAAATGAAAAATACTTATTACACTAACAACAATTTACATTTAATTAGCATCTACTAACATTGTGTAACATTGTAGTATGTTCATTATCATTATTAGATACTTTAAATATTTTATATAAGTGTTATCATGACCCTTCCCTATCATAGGTCATTAATGGTCAAATTAACTTTTAAGTCCTAGAGGTCCATAGTCTTTTTAGACTTGTCAAAGTCGTATTCATTGACTTGAAGCTAGAATATAAATAGTTTCATTGATCGAGAGCTATGAGTTAAAATTGATTAATACATTTGTCAGGGTTAGAGCCATTTTATGCAATTGAAAAGTAATGGACCAACACTGATCAGTACCAAGTGAAGGTAACGGCCGTAACCTTCGCATCTAAGATGGCGGACAGTAATTGTTGATTTTGATATTTTTAATTTTCATTGAATTAAACTACTTTAGAGTTGATGTTATGCTTTGACATTTGCACCAAATCAGGCTTAAATGACATTGGAATCATAGATGTAGTAAACATGAATAAACGATATGTGAAATGTTATGCCCTGCCTTAATACATAACTAAAATTTTCTCGGATAAATGGTGTCTTACAATTGACTAACTGATTCTATTATCAACATCAGGTAATGCATGATCTATCCAATGGATTAACGAAAATACTTGATTCCAATATGGCAAAATAAATTATTCCATGTATGAATTGCATAGTGCATCATTTTGCAGATATTACATAATGCATTCATTGACTCATGGTCAACAAGGTACGGGTGAAACTCCTTTTAGTATTTCACAAAATAATGAAATATAAACAATTTACATATTTCTGAAATGCTGTACCTTTAGTGATTCCTTCGACCTGGAAAGTGGTTTGTTATGTTAAAACTTAAAATAATATCTAAACAAATCTGTTTAGTGTATAAAAACAATAAAAGTTAATATGTTTAATATCAAATATTATTATACATATGAATATAACCTAAAATAAGAAATCTTGTTCTCGTATTCCATTTTAAAATTGGTTGAATGATTTTGGCACAGTAGAAATGATGGTCATGATTAAATATTATATGTAATATGCCCTGATGCTGTAACATCAATGGTCCTTTATAATCAGGTATGACTGAAATACTGGACAAGATCTTATAAGGTTACAGTTTCCATATAACGTATGTTCCATATTACTACCCCAAATCTCCATTGTGTAAGTTTATGAGTTATTATCCCTCATAGTTTATTATGGCAAATGCCTATCCTTGTCTAGAATATGTCATTTTATCAATTTTATAAACAAGTATACAATTACACGCCCCCCCCCCCCTCCCACACCAAAACTCCATTTTCTTTATCAAATCTTTCTACCTCTATCTGTTATGATTCTCTGTTAGGCTTCCCCAATTTTCCATACTGTCAAGTAAACATCTAAATAGGATAGTTCTAGCTATTGCTGTTGTTTTGAAATGTTGACTTTTCTTGGGGAAATATTGTTTCAATTCTGACAGAAGTTTTAGCCAATATCATTCAATTTATCAATATCCAAACGCAAGGTTTCAGAAAGTATGCATTTTGTTTGTGCCTGTATTTTCATCATGTGTACTTATTAAGACAGCTATATTTAATCGTAAATACATTAAAACATGATACATATAATCTTTTGACAATTTCTTCAGTAAAGTGGCCATTTTGAGAAATGATATATAGCTTGTACCTTTGTTTGATGCTCAACAAGATGTTCGACTGGATTTGCCTTTGTCTAATTCATATATATACCAAATACGAGAATCAGAATCTTATTCTACAAAACGGGTGTTCATGGAAGTAGCACTAATTATTGCATCATTGCTATAAGTCGTGTGATTTGATTGGCTAATTCAGAACCATGTGACTAAAAATACCAGCGTATTTCACAGCTCACTGAATTATTTCCATATTTAAAAGACGTATTGTCCAGCGTATTGCCCGCCTGGGGATTCTGACAACTGCACTTTCAATGATTTTTGCAACATGTATTACCATGGCCCTACGGGCTGCGGGCAATACATATTGCAAAAATCATTGAAAGATGAACAGGAATTGCCCTCCATAGAATGAAATATTTGCTTAACATGTCTTACTGTTTCGGGCTTAATATCAATTTTGTTATAAACTGAACAAAGCGGCACCTTTAACATGCAGCTAATTCTCCCATCTAACCAAGAGAGCCTCTTTTAATATATCGAAATTTAAAAATTGCCTCTGATTCAATTTGTTCAATCAAATCTAAAATGGTAATACCTTTTTACTGCTTCGAACTTCCTTATATTTTATACCATTGGGGTAGGATGATTGTCTCTTTCAATTAATGCTTTCACCAGAAACATGGATATCACTAATTTTGATTCATATTTAAAATGGTGTGCATGAATAGACCTGTGTATTTTATACCAAATAGAGACACTTCCCTGGAGAGTTCTAAAGCTCTATATGTTAACAGCCTAGTTCCCACATCCCTTGTTGACTTTGCTTCCATATTTCCTGTGAAGCCGTGGAACAGTTCTCTTGTTCTTCACAATTTTCCATTTTAATGTAACTCAATGAATAAGGCCAATTCATATCACTGGCTTCCCTAGGTCATTTGAATTCCTTGCAATTTTTAAATCAGCAATAAAGAATAATGGGTTAAATTATCAAATAATGAAAAAGTTGCAAATTATGAGATTTGTTATATAGCTTCGAAATCTTGCTGAAGTGTAGTTTAACTATAGGTTAACAGGCTAAATTCTCATTGAGATAATTTTAAAGAATCTTAAACATTGACTTATTGTTTCAGTGGTCCTATTAAAGTTCATGTGTACACAATCTGAACAACATCCAGTTTCAAACACTTCTGATTATCATCAAATTTCAAACACAATCTGAACATCATCAAATTCAATGCAAATGCAGTTTTACTTTAATCCAACAGAACGAATATGGTAAATCAATAGACTAAGTGACACATGTCAAGTCAATGGTAAATACTTGTATCTAGCCCAACTAGCACAAGTGCTGCCATCTACCGACTAGTATCAATCCATCTATCCATATACATAGCACCTAATGAGGTCACGACTTCAAGTAAAGCTTTTTCCCTTGTCTATGGTAAAAAATAAGTTAAACAGAAAAGTTAGTTTGACACCATTGGTGATGCCCACCTTGTATGGTATAGGGATAAAAGGAAAGTTCATGATAACACTTACATAAAATAATTTAAGTATCTAATAATGATAATGAACATATTACAATGTTACACAATGTTAGTAAATGATAATTAAATGTCAATTATTGTTAGTGTAATATGTATTTTTTGCTTAATGCTGCAACAATTACACAAGTTCCAAAAAGTGCCACGCCCACTTTTCCCTAAAAGTAGTTGTGTGTGACTATATTTGATAGATATTATTGATTTATTGGAGCATTATATCAACTTTTTAGCTTTAGTGTGAATATATACATATTTATACAACTTTTGACAAAGTTGCAGCCACAAAATCCAAACAAATTTGCAAATATTTCACTTTGAGGGCTAAGGGACATATTTTGGAGGAGGTCAAATTGAGAAGATTTTGAGATATAAATACTGTTTCCATGGTAACCATATAAGTTAGAGATTGGACATTTCTGGCACTGACTAACCATGGTATGTTCTGCCTACTATAAAACTATGAATATATGACATGCATTAGTATTCTTTTTATCAGGTGGTATTAAAGTACCCCCAAGGTTTTCTTAGGGTGGGGGTATGAATTGGCCTGAGGGCCGTCTGCCACCCCTACATGAAGTCCAACTACCCAGAAAGTGCCTAGCATAATCATACAGACTGTTTGAAATATGTTGGAATGTGTGACCTTCCATGAAAAATGGAAGTTGCAATTATCAGAGTAGTCCACAGTCTATGTGATTTCTCATTTATCACTTTTTAGATTACTTCAAGACGCTTAACAACTACACAAATATAGCGTTAAATAAACCGACTTATCAAATAAGCACCTTTGGGAATCGTAATTCTGATGGTAAATCTGGAAATGCTGTAGACGGTAATACAGACGGGCGTTACCTTTTTGGCAGGTCGTGTTCACACACATATGCAGATCCAATCGAGCAGCCATGGTGGATCGTTGATTTAGGAAAGTCATATAAAGTGCTCCAGATAGTCATATGGAATCGTATCGATTGCTGCAGTACGTAACCTTTGAGTGAAAGATAATAGCAAAAAATACTTCAAATAAAAAATGTAATTTAAAGGAATCCAACACCTTGCAAAACTTCTTAACGGAGAGGAATAAGGGAAAATGCTTGCCGGATTCTGAATCTGTGTATTTTTTAATGATTTTTCACCGTCTTAGAATTTCAATTTTTTTCCTTTGAAAAAATGAGATTTGCATTGTTTTCCAATTAGACAAATGAGTAAACATGAATAGCCCGAAATCTAACGGTGAGATTTTGTTTTAAAAAATCATGGATATCAAGGCTAAATATAGCTATACAATAAACATAAAAAAGCAATGCTTGGACTCTTCATATTCACACAAAAAATTAATTAGTAAATGAGGTTTGATATTTGTGAGAATAAGTTGTACGAGTCGAAATGCTCTACAAACACCAGACTACAGGGTGGATTAGGATCAATGACACACATAAAAATTGATTTAAAAACATTTCATGATAATTATCTCAAACAAAAGCAGTTAGCGAAGGATACATTTCATTACACTCAATAAATAGTTATCACTTTTGACTATATACATATCTCATGGGAATGTATTTCCATCTGGTCAAGATATCATATTTTAGCTTCGAAAATCACAATCGTTGGATAATACATTTGTCTCAGAATGATAGGCCACCCTGTAGCAATGTAGCTTTCACTTGAAGTGTACCCTTGAGAATAATGAACTTACTTTCAAATTGGTCTTGCTTTTGTGGTGTATGTGGCATTTTAGCAAATCTGCCACGCTCATTTCTTTCCAGAACCATCTTGTTCACATGTAACACTAGGCTATACGCGCATGTATAGACAGATGACATAGATATACATATAAATTATATATTGCACCTGTATTTACTTACATGGGAATATTCCCTTTGGAAAAATGCAAATGCATGAACATATATTTTCATCTTATATATGACTTCAAGCTAACATATTATTTCATATTTATATTTTCATAGTTAGTCTAACATAAATAATAGATCCATGAGAACAATATTCTTTGTTTTCTTAAAAATTGATGGGTTTACTGTGAATTCAATAAATTACAATTTGCAAGGGGTAAGTATACTGTATGACCTTAGTTGCAAAGTACTGTTTATATATGCAGCTCAATAGCATAAAATATGTTGAATGAAGCATATGGTGGGGATTAGTCGTGTGACACACAAACTGACCAATACATGAGGGTATTAGCTACTTTTCACAGAAACCAAAGGAGGACAGTGATTTTATTTCAACTGGGAGCTTACCTCCACACGACTTATCATGTGACCATGGTGTTGGGTCCCTTTAAGATTTACTATTTTCCTCATCCATAAGTTTAGCACGTGGAAGTTTTAATTTCAAATTAAAACTTCAATGTCGACCGACTTTTTTCTGCAATTCAGATTTTCTTAAAAAAATCAAGGTATACTGATGTTTATCAAAATATTTGAGAATTAAAAAGATTGACCATTTAGTTATTCCTGAAAAAATATGTGAATTTAACATTGCTCTTTTTATTATTTTAAAAAAAATTGCACAATTCAGATTTTCTTCAAAAAATGTGATTATTCTATGAGTAATAAAGTAATAATGTAAAATAATTTATAAATTATAATGTATAAACTAATAATTATGGAAATTCACCGTCCGGTTCTTTTTAAAAATAACATTGAGCATAATGAATCAGGTGGTAAATATTGTTATTCCATTGTTTATAATCAGCCATTATGTCCCTATCATTGAATATGTGCCTGAGGTCTGGAGTCAATATAGCCCGAGCTTGCGAGGGTTATATTTACGACAGACCGAAGGCATATATTCAATGATACGGACATAATTGTTGTATTACATACCTAAAGTACATTTTACATTACATTTCATGAATATAATATGTAGAAATGCGTGAAAAAAGACAAAAAATGCTTTGTTTTCATGTTATATCAATGACGTCACACGTCTGTGTGCGATTGGAATATGTAAGAAATGAAACGTGACGTCATACGATTGTCATGGTAAAAAGTTTGGCGGCTATACAGGAATATATAGCCGTCCTTCAGCTCCATTGACTTCCATACAAATGCTTCGCTAGGTATGTAATACTGACTAATATTGCCAAAACATGTCTTGATAGATCCACATGAGTGTGTCATATAAATAGAAAACATATTTTGGACGGTTAAGGTGGCTTATATTGCTGCTTACTTTTTCGTGGCACTCAGTAAAATTACGATTTCTCTGCATCCTTATGTCCAATCAACATCATTTGAGTATATATGTGTTCCTGACACGTTCTTCCATTTATGTCTATGTCCATTTATCTTCATTTACAATGTTGCACATCTACATTTTATAATTTTCAGACAACGGATTATGTGCTTCTGCACCATTTAACCCTTTGAACACTAATTCTGATGAAAATGTTGTATTCACTATTCACTACTAGAAATCGAATGTACATTTATCGTCATTGATAATGTTGGACATGTTGTGAGAGAGTCAGTCGGCTCCGTAGCTCAAGTGGTAGAGCACCTGATATGTAATCGGGAGGTTGTGGGTTCGATTCCCACCAGGGTGGAGTGTCTTTTTCACATTAGCCCTTAGCATAGGATTTGATCCTAAACTAATTATTTCTCCTTCGGGGGATGGGACATGGGAAAGACCATGTGACATCATGAATATTGACAACCTGGAAAGACAGGTAAACTCTTAATGGGTCCAGGGGACTGGGCATGTAAGTCATGGCTGTGATGCCATATATGCAATGTTGATGTGAAAGAGTCAGTCGGCCCCGCAGCTCAAGTGGTAGAGCACCTGACATGTAATCGGGAAGTTGTGGGTTCGATTCCCACCAGGGTGGAGTGTCTTTTTCACATTAGCCCTTAGCATAGGATTTGATCCTATGTTTTCAGTTAAACTAATTATTTATCCTTCGGGGGATGGCACATGGGAAAGACCATGTGGCATCATGAATATTGACAACCTGAAAAGACAGGTAAACTCTTGGGTCCAGGAGTCTGGGCATTCATTATTATTCATTCAAGCACATGATACGTCTTGTATATGCCACTGTGGTGTCTTAGATTATGACATGTTGCATGTTTTGTATATATTTTTATGATAAATAAATAAAATAAACTCCTCGCGATCGAAGCGGGACCTCCTCATGTTTTCAGTGGTGCCTCCTCATGTTTTCAGCGGGGCCACTGAAACACCTTTAATGATGCATTTTGACCCCCATGGCAGACGTAATTGTAAAGTTACTTATCAATACAGACCATATTGATCCAATATGTATTATTGAGTATGTAAAGCATATTTATTGCCTTTATTTTAACGATTTATACATAAACAGTAAATTACGAGTATGCAACTGTGCATGTTAAGAATCATGTTTCATGTCATTGTTTGTCAAATACATGTACATCTGTTTTCAAAAAGAATTCTGGAGTATCAAAGAACGGTAATAAGTATTTTCATCATTTTGGTCCATTTTCCAAATTGATCCAAATAAACAAAACTATGCTCGCGATTTCAGCGGGAACTTGCTCACGACTATTAAATCAAAGCGGGGCTTTGAATACTACCCGTGGATAATGGTGCGCTTCAGTGATTCTTGCATCACTGACTTAAAAACACAAATGGACTTATTGCTAAATTTTAATTTTATGTTTTATGTTGAAAGGTCATCGACTCCACGACTTCGCTATAGAAATTGGTTGCGAATTTGACGGAGAAAACCCCGATAGCCCTCACTGGTCAAGAAAGTATTTGCACAATGGAACAGTAGAAAACAACCCGGTATCGATTTCATTCCCAGAGAACTCTGTTGGAAGATTTATCAAGATAAACAATGCCGAAGTGAAGTCTGAAGATTCAATGGATGACATATTGACCTTGTGTGAAGTTGAAGTATATGCAGATTATGTTGTCTGTGAGTGTGAAATTGGCTTATAATACCAAAAACTGTATTGAGAAACAATTTTGTCGTCGAAGATTTGTTCTAAAATAGTAAACCTGAATCTTAGCTTGTATTCGCAAATGCAAATAGCGGCTAGCGGCTATCGAATTAACCTATTAATTTTTATAAATTAACTGTCATTTTGAAATTGTTATTACGAAACAACCAGTCAGTCGACGAACAGTGATCAGTGATCACTGAAATGTATTTTCAACACAGAACAACCATGTGGGTTTACGAAGTGAAGTTCTATTGTAAATATGATTGGCTCTTATAGCCATGACACGCCACATTTACATTAATTTAAAGTAGTTGGACACAATGAAGGTTAAGGAGGTTTTACACAATACATTACATCTCCTTTTTAAGATATGTTGTATACCTAAATTGAGACAATAACACTGGCCTTGTTTATTAAACATGTGAAACATATATAAAAATATGTTAGCCTCAAAATTTAAGTTTGAGAATATGGTTAGCCTAAATAACGTTTAACTTAATACTCCAGAGTCTCTAATAATTATATTTTATGTAGAAATATAAATATGTATGAAATGAGATATGTAGGAGTCTTTTCATCATAGTCTTGAATAAACTTTAGACTGTCCATAAAATGTTTTTCATGTTCAAAACATTGTCTAATATGATAAATGCAATGCCACTCTACTATACCTTGCATTTGGCTTTCATGAGCGACCCATTTGGCTTATTAGTAATGATTTATATTTGTTTTTATTTGTCTGTTCCTTATTAATGGTTTATCGGTTGAAAGATGTTGATAAGGTACTTTCAAAAATATACTAAACAATCCAATTAGACAAACAAAGTATCTTATGCATTTCTAGGTGTTAGGTATAGTAGTGTATATGCATCACCATTGCTTCATAACACTGTTTACAAGTTTAACTTGTTTGGAGGTTTGCGATCCCTTGTAGGATATCGTCTCTCAATCTGTGGTGAACTGGTATTAGTAGATGAACCATCAGTTTTCACAGAGTCACTGTTCTGATCACACTGATTTGTAACACTAGTGTGAGTATCATGTTATGGATCATAGATCATAGTTTTGCTGGATTTGTTCTGGATCAATATTATGCTGAATTTGCTATGCACTGGTTGGCATAATGTTCACGGTTCCTTCTATAAACTCTGTTTGGCGTTTTCATAATATAAGATCGATCACTGTGCTGTTTACCAACAATACCTGGTACCCATCGATCTTTGAGTCTGAATTGAACCTTGTCACCATTTATTAACTGAGATAAATCATGTGCACTTCTGTCAAAGTATTTATTTTGGACTTGTTGTTTCTGAACAATTTTTGAATGTATATCTACATGATTAGAAATATTTGGCTTCAAGAGTATCTTAGGTGAAGGTAGAAGTGATCTGAGTCTCCTACCAGATAACATTTAAGCAGGAGACAAACCAATCTCATCTATGGGAGTGTTTCTGAATTCTAATAGATATAGATGTGGATCATCTTGACTGGCTTCAGCCTTTTTCATCAAATTCTTGATAATTTTAACACAGTTTTCAGCTTGACCGTTCGACTGGCTATGATGAGGACTAATAGTCTTGTGTTGAAAACCCCAGTCTTTTGCGAATTGACGGAAAGTTTGAGAATCATAGTTGCAATTCCGGATATTTGGAATAGTAGTCTACAACAACTACATAATCACGTTGATTGTACTCAAGTTAATCGGATCCAACTTTTGACCATGGACGATTCGGTATTTCATGAGACTTCAATGTCTCCTTACAGTTTTGTGATCTATTGATTTGACATACAGAACACATCCTAACTATGTCCTCAATTTGACTATTCATACCTGGCCAAAATAAGACTATTCATACCTGGCCAAAATAATCTCTTGCTCGGTTTTTACATTTTTACATTCCAAGGTGTGATTTGTGAATAAGATTCAACATTTCAGAGCGCATGGACCTAGGAATGATAACACGATCATTTTTAGATAAGACCCCGTCATAGCAAGTTATTTCATCCCTGATGTTAAAATAAGGAAGTGCTAGATTTGGTAATTGCGCTTTAGACTCGGGCCAGCCATTCATTATAACTGATTTTACCGATTGTAGCTCAGGATCATTCTAGGTTTCAGTTTGTATTTGTGTATACTTGACATCAGATACATTCACCATGTTTAACATGTTCACAGTGAAGGTATCATCGTCTTAGTTTTCATATTCATTGAGGTAAGCACGTGATAGAGTATCCGTGAGGCTTCCAAGGGCTAACTTTTTTTCCCTGGAGTATACAAAACATTGAGCGAATACTTCTGTACACGGAGTAACATTCTCTGTAATCTCAACAACTACAACTTCTTCAACTGACTTCATAAGGTGATGTTCATGCATGATTGCATTATTCAAATCCTTTGGATCTAAACACAACCTCATTGAACCAGGCTTTGTAACAATAACCATACTGTTGACCCACTCAGTTGGTTCATGAACAGGTTCAATGACATCAAGATTTTTCATCCTGTCTAGCTCAACTTTAACTTTATCCCGATCGATATTCCAATGAGACCTACGTGGAGCATGAACTACAGGCGATACATTTGGATCTAACTGTATACGATATTCTACATTTTTAATACATCCTAGACTTTCAAAGACATCACTAAACTCATCAAGAACGGTCTTTGGAGATGAACTTGATTTATGAGAAGTAGAACAAGATTTAGATCTCTTAACACGATCTGGAGATTACTCTCTAGATTTGACATGTGTGTTTGACTTACTCACGCCCGCAGAGGGTGACTTTTCACGACCCGGTTTTGACAAATTCGCTCGCATTTTGACAGACTACGGCGAATGCGACTTAACAGACGGTGACTCGGAGCGCAGTTTTACAAACTGAGGCTTACAATAATTGACATTTATGTTATTTATGGTCAATTTTGCTGACTTGCTTTTGTGATCTATGAGATTTTACAGAGCTAACAGATACCACCGATACTACACCAACAAACTTGATCAACATCTGCACAGTCAGAGTCTGTATCTGAAGAACATGTGTCACTATCATATTAGACCAAATCTACAGCTCGACGACGATTACGACGGTTACGGCCGTGACTATTACGACTTCGACCATGGGTGTTTCTATTTTGTGGACTGGACTCACACTATCTGTATGGCGACTGGAACGACTGCTGGATTTACCCCTATGGCTTGAACTTGACTCGGTGGATAGGCGTCAACGACTGATATGACCCACTTTTCGGCAACTATGACAGACGGACTCTGCTGCAGGACATTAACCACTCAGTCCGGTATGTTTGAGTAACCACAACCCTTAAATTTACCCTTTGAGGCCTGATCAACAAAGTTTACTGTTGCTTACATATGGAGTGTTGACACAGATTCTTGAGACTGTTCATTGGCGCGACAATCACTCACTGCTTTCTCAAGTGTCAATGAATCATTTCGTAGTAATCTACCACGTACCTCGTTAGATAGTGGAGAGGTTAAGCAAATACGGTTTTTCAAAACGTATACGTAAACGCAAAGTACATTGGATCAACATAGGATTGTATCGCTTTAGTCTACTTCAGATACCCGTTCAACTTCAAAGTTGCGTGTTTAGAACGGGAGTTTTTAATTTTTCACGTTGCTATCAACGGGAATCATTATACTCATGTCTGTTGAATACTATCCTTGCAATTTTGATTTCGATGCAGAGTATAATTCTTTCTGAAGAAGATGATGTGTGTTACGCATGATTTAACTCCAATAATCTTACGAAACGAGCTCGTTAAAAATATGTATTAGAAAACCAGCTATTGAACTTCATCAATGGGATACTATGTAATCATTACAAGCTATGGTGTAGTCTAAACAAACACTAGAGCTGAACGGCTATTTATGTGTGAACTCTACATGCATTTGTATAGGGCCGATTGATACGTTTAAGTTGCGTTTTCGATTTTATACGGTAGCTTAACCTCTCCAATATTCCACAAACAATACGGTCACGAATGAGACTGTCAGTCAATGTTCCAAACTCACAATATTTTCGATGTTACCAGAATATTTACCATATATTATTACCAATATTTATTGTAATATTTGACCATATGCAGCATGCTACTCACATTTAGTGTAATAATTAAGTATATGTATTTATTATGCAATATGTATCTCACACGTGTTAGTGAAATATATGTATTTATTGTGATATTTGTTTTCAACCATATGCATTGTGTATTTCACATTTAGTGCAATATTTATATTTATTGTAATATTTGACCATATGCAACATGCTACTCACATTTAGTGCAATAAATGTATTTATTGTACTATCTGTCTTCGACCATATGCATTATGCAATTCACATTAAGTGCAATATTTGTATTTATTGTAATATTTGACCATATGCAACATGCTACTCACATTTAGTGCAATATATGTATTTATTATGCAATATTCATCTCACATTAGGTGCAATATATGTATTAATGTAATGATTGACAATATGATTCCATGAACTGCTTATTTATGCCAAAATGATTAATCAGAGTTGTGAATTAATATCATTGGTTATTAATGTATAAATCTTTACCAGAGACGTTATATGTCTCTGTCTTTATGAATGTTGACCCAAGCTGCCCATTGGGAGTAGTAATGCAGTAATGGGTGACACTCAGATATAATGTATACTGTGTCTCATAAGTCGACACCGGCTGGTGATGTTACAAAATCTTGTTTTTATTATGTATTTTATATGTATATTGTAATATCAGTGACACAAAAATAAACTATTTTAAAACCAAAAAACAAATTGTTCGACGGTAAGTGATATTCATACTTGAACATCATGGTAGTAAAGTGCCTCGAGCAGCCACCCCTTTCAAATCAAATTTTCTTCCAAAAGCCATTAGCACAGGGAGTGCAGTGCCCAGGGCAGCTACCTATCTATGGCATCCCGTGAGCAGTACAATGCCCCGAGCAGCATCGAATAATTGGCCGCTCGCCTTTCATACTATTTAGCGCTATAGAAAAGTGATTATTAGACAACTGAAACCTCGATTAATAACACAATTGAATTTACGCTAAATTATTAGCTAACGAAAGTTAATTTCACTTTACATAGGTTGGTAAAGGCTGTTGTTTATTTCTGACGATCGAATGACTGGGTTGTAACGAAATATATATGTTTAATGCATATATTGTAATAAGTAATGTGTAGTTAATATATCTATAATTATAATCTTATATTATTTTGTGTTGTCTTTTATAAACCAGTTCTTTGACTTTAGTATGTTAACCACGTTATCATTTGAATATAAGACTTATCTTCTCTCTCTATTCTTCCAACTCCTAGAACATTAAATAGAGCAGCAATAAAAAGAGAACGTTCACATCTTACAGGGCGTTCAGTAAGTAAAGCTAATTTTGCTCTCAAACTTTTATTTTTTGTCATTTATCTTTCAAATTTTCAGTGAAGAAGCATTTGACATTTTTCTAACTACCCTGAAAAATTAAATAAGATATGATGAATAATAGCAAAACAATGGTTGTCATAGTAACGTGAATACGGGTTCTGCGGAGCAATTTCTTACTTTAATAAAAATGTTATAATGCAATGAAATTGATTAAGATTAATGCTGCATATGTCTTTGTTTGCTATGGCTGAAAGTCACGACAAACATAACAACAACATACACAAATATGATACCATGGCAACAGTAGTCTATGACATCACAGACAGATGATACAACAGATGGAATGATCCAGAATGATCCATCAGACACTGCTCCATGACATCATCAAAATCATGGCTGCCAGGATTGCCAATGGAAGCAAAATGAACAATGAAATGAGACAACAATTGAGATGTAGCATCAGATACAATGTGTTGCTAGGGAAATCCAAGCAGGATACCATTAGGGATATCCAAAAAGCATATGGGGACAGTGTGCCTAAGTAAACAATCTACAAATGGTATCAGAAATTCCAAAAGGGGAGAAAAACAACAAGTGATGAGCCAAGATCCACGCAAATATCCATGAGCTTCAGAATGCCGTTCAACATTCGCTGACAAAGAACTTTCCAGATGGCTTCCACAAGATATATCAGAAGTGGATAGAACGACATCAGCTGTGTGTGAAAGCTAAGGGGAACTACTTTGAACATGAAATAGAATGCTAACTTGAAAGGAGAAATGTGGAGTAGCCACAGAACTATGGTTGAAATATGGACAGGACAGAAACTAACGTTAACAAAATCTACTATGCTGTGAACTTATAAAATTGCTCCGCAGAACCCTTATTCGCGTTACTATGACAACCACCATTTTGCTGTTATTCATTATATCTTGATCATTTTTTCAGGATAGTTAGAAAAGTGTCTGATGCTTCTCCACTGAAAATTTGAACGATGATAGACAAGAAATAAACATGAGTCCCTACATATGGGTAAAATCGAAGGGTTCTTTGAGAATGAGAGCATTCTATGGTGAACACGGTTTTCTTGAAATTGACTATGTACAAATATGAGCTACCCAAATATGTTTTAAAATTTTCTCCTAAAATGTGCAATTCTCTTAAGCACATAATGTTTCCACAATATGTAATCTTAGTGTCTTAGATTGTATATTTTCTTAGTTAATGTCTATTTATTTATACAATTGTAACAAATAAATGAAGTTTTCTTATACGTAATGTAACAGGAAGTCTCCTCGTATTTATTGCGTGTTTAGTCCAGACTGATTATTTCCGTCAATCCCATAGCTTCGAGCACTGTTACCTGAAAAAAGTCGTCAAACATGAAGAACACCTTAAGGATGATTACCTCCAATCACATAGCTTCGAGCAATGTAACCTAGAAAGTCGTCATACATAAAGTAAACCTTACTGACAATTTGCTGCCAATTCCATAGCTTTGCATAGAGTAAACATAGAGTACAAGTATGTATATGCAAACATAGATAGAGTAAACCTTAACTTATAATTGCCACCAATCCAATAGCTTCGAACACTGTATATGTTTCCGTTCGAAATTTAACAAAGTCTGCCTAACAAAATGTGGTAACTTAAATTTTAACGTTCGATAAGTAATTTCAGATAAACGTAATATCATTACATTACAATTATTAGAAATCTGTCCAATAATATTAAGATGCATATATGAATTAGTATTTTAATAAGAAAATTTAGAATTACGATTTTTTTTATTCAGTTTTCATTGTTGGCCTGGCAACACTGGGTTAAAAATGGGTTTGGTGTGTGAATTATTTTCTTACAAAATTGCTTGATATCTCTTTATTTCTCACTGTTACGTGATTGGAAGTAAATTTACATGGTACCCAAGTAGTAAAGATAAGAATGCTCAAAATAAGAAAATTTCTTAAAATCAGAGCATTTGTATCGCTACTTAAATATTTATATACAGGGTGACATAAAAAAAGTGCCACCCGCATAATGTTGCATAACTTTTTTGTCTGCACAAATGCTGACAGTAAAATTATACTTCATTAAGCAACTCCACAAGAAGTTTTAGATGGCAAACTCAACTAGGACCACTTTTATGAACGCCGCAAGTGCTCTAAATGCCAGATATTCCATTGGAGGCAAACTTCAGATGGATTCTACTTGCGAAGTTATTGACAACATTTGCCTAATAAAAACATTCAGTTTTTTCTCTGATGGTACTTGGAGGATCATGTGAATGTAGCAAACCCCTTAACCATAGAGCACCTGGATATAGACATCGATAGAAAGGTCGGGCCACGTCTGCGGGGCCACGTCTGCGGGGGATGTGATAGGGTCGTCAATAACTTTGCCTATAGAATCCAGGTGTGCATGACATTAAGAGCACATCTTATAACGCTCATAAAAGTGCTACTTGAGCCAGTCATCTGAAACGTTTTGTGGAGTTGCTCCATGCAGTTTAGTTTTAGTGTGCTAAAGAACAAGTCAGAAATCATGCAGGCAAAAAAGGCACGCAACATTATGTGATAAATTTAAATTTGATTTAAATAAAGATAAATTAGAACTTACAATAGCTCTTGCATTCGGATCCAATGCTTTTAGCTTTGCACCAAGTTCACCATTTGGAATAGGTAATATACTATTGTCAAGTAGGGTGATTGTATTGTCCTCTAAATTGATGCCGTACAATTCCTAAAACGAAAGAGACAAAGGTATTTCCGGCAACGGGTACATAGTTATTGATTATTCGTGGTTTAAACCTCCCATTTTGTATTTTATCTGAATTTTCATATTTGTCATTTACTATATTTTACCCGGCGCTTGCTTCAATTTCCTAAAAGTTTACAACGGATTATCTGCTTATGAATCGGTTTTTAGGAAGGTTATTAGCATGACCTATTGATTTTACCTATTTAATTGAAAATAAGATCCTCTGTCTGATTATGTTTTTCATTCAAAATGATTAAAAATAATGATTCCATTTAGTTCACTTTCTTTTAACATCATCTTGTTTTTTGTTGATCCGCCAATTGTTTTGATATGTTTAAATGATAAAACATATATGTCTACATACATTTTTACCTGTTGAGGACCTGTCAACATTAGGTTAGTTATTATTGAGGGGTTTAACATGAGTCAACAAAAATATTAGATTTTGATATTTTTGAAGTTTACAACCGATCATCTACTCATTAATCGGCTTTTGGAAAGTTTATTAGTATGACATATTGATTTTATCTGTTTAATTCAAAATAAGATTGTCCGTCTGATTATATTTTGCATTCAAAATGATTAAAAACAATGGCTCCATTTAGTTCACTTTCTTTTAACATCATCTTGTTTTTTGTTGATCTGACAAAAATCGAACGTCTTGACATGGATATCACTTTAAAGATAGTAGAAATGGCTTTCCAATGATACTCCATATTACCACGTTCACCTCAGTCTGGTGCACTCAATCTGAGATGCAATCTGTAAGGTGCACCCCTACCCTGAAGAAATTTCAAGAAATCTCAAAATCAAATTTCCTGAAATTCCCTGATTCTTCCCCCGTGCATTTTCTCAAATATAGCATTGTTATATACCATTGTGATCGGGATAATGCCTGCAATACTAATATAACCATGTTGGAAGAGAACAAACTAATTCATTTTACTATTAGGATATAGTCCTGCGTAAGGATATTAGTGGTTAGTGATTTGGTTTTCTGCATAAAAAGTCACTTTTCTCCTTCCCTACCGCATTGGAGCGCCATTTGGGAAGTGAATCGGGACTCAATATTTATAAGTCAGGTCCTAATTCATCTGAAACATGTCAACATTCAGTGAGAAATCTCATTTTAAGCTGGCGGCGGAGTGATTTTGACCTTGGCGATTTTACCAGAATTTTCTGAGAAATCTGACGATAGAGGGGGTTAGTGTCTTCAAGTTTATTTATCTCAAAAATTCGATGGACAACCCATGGTAAGTTTGTTATAGCAGGCTATGCAAGTCTCTCTCTCGAACACTGTGGTATGTTGCGCTAGGCTTGGATACTAACCGTTAATAGGATATGGGGTAAACTGTTATAATGGTCATCTATGGGAAACTCTTCTGAAGTCTCCAACCTAATGCGTTATTGGCCCGCCACTAAGACGTCACATATATTACTCAGGTCGATATAGTAACATAAATGCCTTCTAAACTAGCACTAATACCCCTGTAACATACCCGGCAATGTGGTAATAATAGTAATTGATCTGAGAACTATCCACAAAAATATTCATCTTTTTGAATAAGACTTGAATTAAATCTTCAATAAATGAAAATCTGAACCATTTTACGATATATTCGAAAAATTCAGAAACTGCAAATGATTCAATTATAACTATTTAAACCAATTTAAATTGTTAGAATATGATACTAAGCTTAAAAAGTAAACATTTGATTAGTTATACCAATCATTGTGATTTTAGAGCCCATTGTTATCTCATTTTTACAGTTTAAATTGTATAAATCTTCTTGCTGTCAACATATTCATACTAGTCTACACTTATTTAGTGCCTGTTTATAATGATACCGACATTATTGTAATATTAAAATTATATAAGTAATAAAGAGGTCAATCCCCCCCCCCTTGTGACTTGGCGTTATACGAATAAGGTTGTAGACATCAGGATGAAACCTGTTGTCATGATTTATACACCTTAATGATGTAATTTAATCGTAACAATATACTAGCTTTTCATCTAAGAACTATCCAGAAAAATATATAAGTTTCGTAAAATAGACCCCTGCTGAAATCGTTCATAAATGAAGTGCTGTAACCTTGTATGGTGCTCAAAAATTTATAAATGGTCAATGATATAATCCTAACTAACAAATGCAAATTAAAACATTAGACTGTAACAATAAGCTTTAAAAAATTATACAGTGTTTGATGAGTTATACAACCCACTGTGAATTTTGATTCCATTTTGATCTAATTTTTCAGTTGAAATTTTACATTATGCTCTTGATATATTAGAATTCATACTTTTTGTACTTATTTATTATCTATTCACAAGAAATCTTTTAAAACGATTATTTCTTTGAAAATGGACCTTTGCTTAAATCTCAAATAAATGATAAACGGTTATGTTGTGTGGTCCCCAACAAGCAATACCATATTCAGTGATATTAAATCTATCAATATAATCTATAAAAATGATTGGAACTTGAACAGGAGGTCATTTTAAAAATGTTGTCAATTCCTTTATTACTATTATATATTATGCAATGCACTCGCCAGCGGGTAGTTCAAAGACGCGGTCTTGATCTTCTCATACATACTCAGACTGACTGTGTTTTCGCGAATGCAACTAACGCCTGTCGGCTACCGTGGCACGTACCATTCATATTTAAATGGGTAACCATTAATATAGAAGGTAAATCCGGTAGCCGACATGCGTTAGTTGCATTCACGAATACAATTAAGTTTTAATACATTTCATTAAATAGTGTGCGTTGTATTATAACCGCGGCGATCCTATGATATAGCAGGTGACAGGTCATCTCAACCCCAAGTCATCTCAACCCAGTCCAACTCAACCCCAAGTCAACTCAACCCCAAGTCAAGTCAACCCTGTAAAACTCAACCCCAGTAAAACTCAACCATATTCATTTGTGCAATGTCTAATTTAATTTTTTTATGATGAATAATTTAAGTCATTCATTTCTGAAAATCTAGCATTTTGCATGATACTTTGAATAGAAAGTTGTAAAAGTATTCCAAAAAACGGTTAAGCTCAAGGATAATTCATCAAGTTGTCACTATTACTTAATTTAAGACATCTTTTGAAATCAAATTTTAGATAATTTAGAAATAATTAACAATGTAATATAACTTTTTTTATTTATATGATAATTTAGAAATAATTAACAATGTAATATAACTTTTTATTTATATGAACATGCATTAACAAAATCATTAACATTTACTAATTAATAGACTGAAAGCATATAGGCGTAGCCAGGAAGGTGCATCATTTCTTGTCAAAACATATCTTTTTTTGGCTAGAATATGCCACGATCGGCACCCCTGACTGAAAACCTGATTTTTTTGGGCGGTCGCATCCCTCCTGACTGAAAGCTGACTATGCCCCTGGAAAGTGACCCATATTTTAATCCTATTAGTACCATGTTGAGATTTTGGAGATACACTCATTATTAACTTTAATCTAAAAAGGCAGTGGTCTAAGAATGAAAATCACAAACTGAATAATCAAAATTATTTTTATGAAATAAACTTTCTTAAAAGTTTATCAATTATAGAAATATAGGGGTTGAGTTTTACTGGGGTTGAGTTTTACAGGGTTGAGTTGACTTAGGGTTGAGTTTTACTGGGGTTGACTTGACTTGGGGTTGAGTTGACTTGGGGTTGAGTTGGACTGGGTTGAGTTGACTTGGGGTTGAGATGACCAGGAAGCATATAGCATACCTTTTGTTCTCTGCTTATAGTTGGGACTTGAACGTTGTGAGTTGCAGGGAACATGTCCTCAATTTTTTCACTTGTGAAAATATCTTTACCAGTTATGAAAACCTGAAATTAAGAAATATGTGAATATGAATGATTTTGAAAAAACCGTCCATACTCCTTTATTTCGAATATACGTGTTTCTTCGTGTAATAGGCGTGTATACAAATGAATGCTAGAATTCAAGATGGGTGACTTTTAAGTTAAACAGTTGCACAACTTGTACGCTCTGATAAGAGCATGAAAGTAAAAACATTTGATGAGTGGGCTTCCTAACATGTAAATGGCAATGACCAGAGTCAACAAACATCTTCTAAATGGCTGTCAGAAAAAAATAATCGCATTAAAGTTTTACAGTTGTACAATTTGAAACCCTCTAATTTTAGAGAGATTTCGCAACTCACTTAAAGATGTTTATTATTCCTGTATAACGTATACCCTATGAAACTTTTGATTCTGTCATCATTTATTGCGCAGCTCTGTACGTCCAAAAGTGTGCTATTCTTATAAATCGTCGTCTATATGTCAGAATACCACACTTATGTACGTCTAGAGCTCCGCAATAAATTATGACATAATCAAACGCTTTATAAGTTATATGTTATACGGAAATAATAAACATGATATAAGTGAGTTGCGATATCTCTACTATTTTAGATAATTTACTTAAAAAGTTAATCAACATAATAACTAAATTCCGCCTCTAACAACAAATCAAACTGGACAAACTTAAAGTGAGGTATTATATGAAATAATACGATGTATATTATTGATTATATTATACAGGGTGCCCCAAAATGATACATTGATAACTATGTTTCCTTCATCGTGAAAAGTTGAACTTTGCAAATGATAAAAAAAATCATTTTTCAATTAACAGTTGAAATTCATGAAAATAAGTGTTATCACTCATCACTCACAGATCAATTCTATGTTTTGTCTTTGGTACAGTTTATTCTGGGACACCCAGTATTACATCGATAAACGACTAACTTTTATATTTAAGAGGATTTAAACTGAGAGCATATTTCACGGTCATTGAATAGTAAAATAGTCACCATTATATGTATATGGTAAATAATAGGTAAGGTACAGGATAGTTCGGATTATAGACCTGTAACACGTTTGAATGACAAACGCATGAGAAAAAATTGTTTTAAGGCAAATAAAAAATCGATTATACATTACTTAATATTAAAAACTATTTAGTGTATTTTAAGAAAAAATATCATAGAATATTAATTCTAATTGCAAAATCTCTTGATAAATCTTTGAGTTTGTCTTGGTTCCTTTTAATTGACCAAGTTATTTTGATATCAACAACTATCATCGTTAGCGTTATCTTCAGCCTAAGGCAATAAGCTTGTTTTCGCGAATTTAAAAATGAATGGAATGGTGACAGGTATTATTTATATATCAAAGAGTTGAGCTCAACAGCCGGCCGGGGTCGAAAATGATAATGATTTTAATTTAAAAATTCTTCTAGGTAATGTAGTAATTGTTATTATTAATAGTAAATACTTCAAATGTGGATAATTCAGTATGTATGAATCACTTATTTAAAAAAATCTCCCTTGCGTAAATATGTTTTGTTTGACAATAAAGTAATTAAAAAAACAGTTTCCCATTAAATAATAGGTAAATTCGGTAGCCGAAAGTTGCATTCGCGAATACAAGCTTCAAAACTAATAAAACGCACCTGTAGTCCTGATATAATACCAATTATATACTTAAGTCCACTAAGGGGGAGGGGCATGTATATAATCTTACCAAGGACTTCGTATCAGTGTACATTATAGCAATTTATAAAAAGAAGTAAAATACTAATTAAAAGGATTGAAGCTAATCTTATCAAACAAAAACTATAAGATAATTAGCACTTCAGGTAATTCAGTAAATCAGCTGATTGTTACATCAAGTAAAAAAAACAAAGAGGTGTTAAGTGAAATTGTTTACCTTGGAGTGACCATGTTTGCCTGATTTAGATGTTGCAATTTCAATAATCTCGCATGGTCTTCCCTTCAAAACAACATGGCCATTTTTCTTGAGAGCCGAACTTTGCATCTCCGTGGTTGCCATTTTTGATCTTCTTGTGTTGTCGTCGACTGTCCAATGTGGCTGTTAATAAATTATTATCCTGTTTACCCGTTCGATGTATACTGGACTATTTTTGCCTAAACCCGGTTAATACATTCATTCAAATAAATACGTACACGTTAATGTGCATAGTTATTTGTAACTCACCCCATGCAGACAGATCGCATAAAATTGCATTCGTATGATGTGAGACTCGACATTCACCGGGAAACTTGAAATAACTTGTCACCTATGAAGCAAATTAATTTTTACTGCTTAATAAATGGTGAATGACAGTTAAATTAGGTTCTATATGTATGATAATAGCATGACGTCTTGATATTTCAAAGTAACTGGACTTCTAAAAGTGATGACGGTGATTGAAATTACGATGTAAAGATAAAACTGCAACGAAATATTTGTAGATTTCTTTGAAAAACTAAGAAATCTACATCACATATCGAATTTTCCGAAACAGAAAAAACGTGTATAAATAGTAATGCTTGCAGGTCCGATTCCCCTTCGTGGCATTAACATTGGCCTCTTATATGCCATGCAATGAATATTTGAATCGCGACTATTATTCGAACTTATGATCGGACATTAGTATGATATTACTTTATTATCTTGAAATGCACATCATATTTATGTCTGATCATAAGTTCGAATAATAGTCTTTCAAATATTAATTGTATGACATACACAAGACTGGTGTTTATGCTACTAGGGGGAATGGAATCTGACCTGCAGACTTTACTTTTTATACATCTTTTTTCTGTTTTCGAAAATTCGATATGTGATGTATATTTCTTAATTTTCAAAGAAATCTACACATATTTCGTTGCGGTTTTATCTTTAAATCGTAATTTCAGTCACCGCAATCACTATTCAAACGAGATACCTTGAAATATCAAAACGTCTTGCTATTCTCATACTTATAGAACTCAATGTTACTGTCATTTAAGCAATCAAAATGATTTTGCTTCATGAGTGGCAAAATGTTTCTAGTTTCCTAGTAAAAGTCTAGTCTCGCATCATACGAATGTATTTTTAGGCGATCTGTCTGCATGGGGTGTAACTACATGTAAGAGCAACTTATTTTGAAACTCAATGAACCTTCAAAAACCTATTTCATGTTGATATTTATATAACCATTGGCATCTTTTAGCTTTTAACGATCACTTCATATAAATATATATATATAGTCGCTCATACGGTGAAGCCGGCGGGACTGTTAATTATTGTATGAGACTGTTTAGAGTGTGAAACTTTATTAAATATTTTACTAACTAAATAACTAACTAACTAACTAGCTAACTATGTGGACGGGTATTTGACTTAAAATGGGTGAATATGCGAGGGATTTGAAAGGTACAATCGTTATCAATCTCTTTCATATTGTTTAAATACATCTCACGATGACTCTGAATAGACTTGGAAAAATATCTAAAAGTTTCAAATTTTATTTATTTTTACATTTAGTAGTTTATTTATAAGATACGTCGAATTAAGCCCACTACAAATATTTCCAGCGAGCAGTCTTCAAATGGTTATACAAAGATACACATCTCATTTACTGCATCATTTAATGAAAAAAGATTATCCAGTAAAAAGGAAGAACCTTACTAATGAGTTATTTTATATTTTTCGAGTTTTGCAAACCTCATTGTTTAAAGGTTTACGAATGCGGTTGTTGAATTCGCTTCAACCTCATCTAACGCAGTAAACACAATTATGACGTGCACGGACCTGGGGACAATTCGGGAAATACGGGCTAATCTCAGTTTTAAGCGTTAATATCTGCCTTATTTAAATAGCTAACTATTTGCTTTATATATCATTTTGAAGTATTTTTTATTCACATTTCACTGAAATTATTTTTCCTTGAACATTTTGTTGGGATCTACCAGTTCAATGTACCCCGACATCGTCAAATACGCTGTAAGACGTCACATTTCACGCTTACACGGTTCGTTGAAATCGGGATAACTTTCGAAATACTGAGAACATGTGCATTTATGACGTCACAATTGCATAACAGCTACAGTTCAAATTGTCTTATATGAACGCTTTTAAAAAAATTTAAATTGTGTAAGGTTTTGAGGGCGATCGAAGGAGACAAGCAATAAGTTTACCTTTATTTAACCTTCTAATTTAGGTCTGATTTCAAAAAGATTAACTGAACAATATTGTCATGGCGAAATTTACAAATCAATAACCGAATTTTTTATTTTTTAAATAATATCAAAATGAGAGCTGATTTTAGAGCCTTGAAAAAATTTAACGCATCGATTTTCTTCCACAAATTCCATACATATCAATTTTAACTAACGCCTAAAGTGGATTTCCTGACCGTTTTTAAAAAATCAAAAACATTTTAGAAAAATATTGTCCTCAAGATCTTGTTTCCTTGTGAATTTTACCAGGATTGAAAAAGGTTAACGCATCTTATTTTTAGGTTGACTAAACTTGACAAAATGTAACCCTTGTCGTTTTTGACGTTATAAGTCTCTTTGCGCCATATACTGCCCATTGTTTTGTTTTGGTATTTTGCCCCCATAATGTTACGCTAATTGTCCCCAGTTTTGTGCGACGTGTAAATATATAAAATGTCAAATGAGAATGAAAATCTGACAGAGTTTCAGACTTCAAATACAAATCTTCCACATTCACCGGTCATTGATGATGTAAGACGTAAGTTGTGTGGTCAACTTAAGAAAATACTAAATCAAGTAGAAAAATATGTTTTCTCCCATTTGGTACCATGACAGATGCCGAACTCAAACCACCGGATGCCGTCGCAAAAAGTTTGCGATTGTTACTTGTTGTGATGGTGACATGAGTTTTACTGGGGTTGACTCGACTTGGGGTTGATTTGACTTGGGGTTGGCTTGACTTGGAGTTGAGATGAAATGTCAACCATCAATACAGTGCAAAATATAGGTCAAGCTACAAGATACTAATGTACACATAAATGTAATATAATTAAACCAGTACATACATTTTGAAATACTAGGTGAGTTCATATTTTTTATGGGGATGTGGTAATCTGAAACAGGTCCTTTTTTCAAAAGGTCAAGGTCATTAAACTAGTTCACAAACTATGCTATCTGAGTTTCTCAAAATTCGCTCAAAGTTCAAAACCACAAATCAATATTTTTGGTTGAAAGTCAGGACATATATTCCTCTGAAGGTTCATACTGAAGGTGGGAAGAGGGCCATGGGTACTCCATTTATAACACTAATGAATTTTGGTTGAAAATCTGAATAAATGAAATACCGAAAAATGGGGGAGGGGAGACAAAACACAGTCTAGGACCTAGAAAATTGAATATATTGAAAATAAGCATATTTAAGCCAGAGGTTCGAGCATTGACCAATTTCTCGATTTCTTTTGCTTCTAATTGTAGATGCCATGTGGTTCTAAAGGTACAGTATATATCAAAATAATATATAGAATCGCATTTCTTGTTCCAGGTTTACTGATTTATTTAAGATATCAAAACAAATAGGGCCATTCAAGATGACAGAATATATGAGGAAATGACTAAACATAGCCACGGAATGGAAAAATAAAATTATTTATACAAAACTAAAATAGATATGGTAGCATTATTTACCGAGGTCAATGTCATATTTCCCGTGGAATAAAATTCATATTGAAAATCAACCATGAAATGACCTTTTTATTCCATAATTTTATTTTTGAGTATTAAAAGAATTCAAGGAACAGGGAATACTAAAAAAAGAAATTTAAAAATGAAAATTATTTTTAAATCCAAAAATTTGAAAAGATGAACATTTTTGAAAAAGTGTTATTTCTTGAAAAGATAAAAAATTTGAAAATTTTTAATTTTTTTTCGAAAATTGGAAAAACTGAAATCTTTTTGAAAAAATGAACTTTTTAAAAAAATAGGTACAATATCATTTTCGCATATATATGATATATGATTTTAAGAGGGATAATATGATTTTATTTCCCAGGGAAAACAGTAGTATTATGGAATAAAAATATGATATGGCTCGTTTTAAAGTGTATTTACTATACTACGAGGTTTGATCAATAAATAATGGACGCTTTTTAAACAAATACTTTTTATAGAGAAATCTTTATGATTTTTTGCCAGTGATACATCATTCAATTATTTCTCAACTCTGAAGATTTTAAGACAAAACATGAAATATATTTTAATATATTTTATTTCTGTGAAGGAGATATAGATATAGGTTCAAACGTCAATAACCTGACAGACCTTAATGGCCTTACCAATGCTATGGTTTTGCAGTGCACAATCTGCAAACTAATAGTAATTCCCTACAAGAAATTCTTTCGTCATGAACCACTCCCTCTCATAACTTTGGACCACTTGTCAATGTATTGTTATTTTCCTAACTTTGTAATAAAGGCATATAATTGGGATCAAAATATTGACAGTTTTTGATTTGCCATCTTGTAAAAACTTCAAGTTGCCAAACATATGGCTGGGAGTGTAATTTCTGATAAAATATTTGCACTTTGATAAGTTCAGAAAGTATGTACACTTTATTGGACAGTACGTTTAAATTAAACCTTACTACTTTAATGATAATTTGATTTTATGTAAAACGTTTAGGTCAAATGTCAATTTGATATTTAGCATAGTTAGTGATAGTGATTAACATAAACTTAAAGATATCCTATCAAAGTTGTAAAGATTTAAAGAGCAATACAGCAAAAAGATTGAAACGTTGGATTCGATAATAAATGAACTCATAAGAGAACGCTTGAAAAGACTATTTGTAGAATACTTCATGAAACATTAAGCGATTACCTCACATATACATGCATTCTACATAGTTTATACACATCTATGACTACATAAAGGAGATTGTGTTTCGTAACATGACAGAGGCCTATATTATCCGGTGATATTACTGATATAATTCCTTTAAATGAAAGAAACAAAAGTACCTCAAGTTATTTAAGTTGAAACGTGTGCATTTTCTCATTTGAAACTTAACAACTAAAAAGCACGAAGTGTGAGCTTGTACTCGCGAATGCTATTTCATGATGACCAACTCATTTAGATATGAATAGAACCTGCTACTATTCCATTCATCTTTAAATGAATCGGTCATTAAATAGGATGTTAATTCGGTAGCCGACAGTCGAATTTTGCATTCGTGAAAACAGGTGAAGTTATTTTTACCAATAAAATATTCCCTATAGACGATTGATAATTAACGATTAATCTCTTGGTGCTTAATGATTAATCGTGAGGTGTGTGTATCTGTGTGTGTTTGTGTGTGAGTGTAAACATGTACACTTCTCCGAGTTCATATCCAAATTATAAAGTGCCTTGATCATGGCCAAGAAGGTAGCGATTCTTGGCGCTGGAGCGAGTGGATTGACGGCAATTAAGAGCTGCAATGACGAGGGTTTGGCCCCTGTGTGCTTCGAGCGGACTAATGACATCGGTGGTCTGTGGAATTTCACAGAGGAAGTTCGAGAAGTAAGTAGATATTATATCGTTATTTACGTCCCATTTGAAGTCATTTCACTTCATAGTTGGGAATTTTGGGGTTTCCGAGAGTGTGTGTGTAACCTTTGGTAATAATGGTCGCCGTTGTAAGAGAAGACCATTGAATGAGTCCTCTTTTTATGTGTTCTTTCTGAGACCCTGATTAAGTAGATTATTAAGGAAAGGAGTATGTTGTCTTGCTAGAATTGTGCAGCCTGAATTGTGGCTGTATGGATGGCCTTTTAACACATATATTTTTCTTTAGAATCTATTTAAAAGAGTAGTTCTCTCTTTATGAAGGTATTTGACGACCTCACTATTTGAGATGTGTTCTTGAATTGGTACGTACACGGTATTGATCGTTATACTTATCATGGGCTAAAGGGCGATGCGAATAGTTTTCTTTTAAAGAGGGCAATCAATCAATTCGTTTATACTATATTATTTATTTATACTACATATCGGCTAATAATATCCAGTTTACCCCTCCTGCATAAAGAATTCCACTTTAAAGGCCGTTTTATTATGTTTGAGTCATAGTTCTAATTAGATCACCGAATAACAAAATTCTTAACGGGTGATCAAAGTGGGTTTTCCGTTCTCCATACCTTTTAGGGGAGTGTTGATTTACTTTAAATCCTATACCTTTATTTCCAATAAACCAGGCCACCTTTGCTATTTCAAAGAAACTATGATATATTTGATAGATGGGTAATACCAGAGGGTGTACTTGTAAAATTAGCAGCAACTTAATGCAGAAGGTCTAAATTTATCCTTTTTTATTTGAAAAATTGCAACCTACAACGAATCATTATGGAGATCATTTTAGCTTTTTTCAAATTGATATGCATTTTGATATGCAATTGATATGGATACCATTTGGCATGGTTTATCGGAAAGGTCTACTATATCTTTGTTTCAGGACCAAGCATGTGTAGCCAAATCCACAGTGATCAACACTTCCAAGGAGATGATGTGCTACAGCGACTTTATAATTCCAAAAGAATACCCCAACTTCATGCATAATACATATGTACAGAAATATTTCCGCCTCTATGCAGATAAATTCAACTTGTTAAAACACATCAAGTAAGAGATTTTCATTTTTCTCATGTCACGCGACTATCAATGGTCAATTAGCACCTACAGGGTGGACCAAAAAAAACCACCCCCCTAGCCATTACTCTTGATAGATTTTTATTTTCTAACAGGTACACCAGCAATGATATATCATTTTAAAGATAATTTAATTTGCAACAAAATGATATACGAGGGTTGTCCCAGAAGTAATGCACTATATGTTCTAACTTGCTTCAATATTCTTCAATTCAGCTGAAATTTTGTGTATATAACAATTGAAGTCTTGTCTATTATATCCTGAAGTTTCAGCATCAAACATTAATATCAAGTCTTAATATGGTTGCTATAGTAACATGGGGGTAGGGGTGGGCGGGGCAGGTAACAATTTATCTAATTATGAAAAGATCCAAAGTGTTATTTTATTAATATTTCTTTCTTTTAAATGATCAAAATGTTTGGGAAATTGTAAAATTTATTCAGCATGATGTTAAACAAGTACAAATAATGACATTTAGCACTGTGTTGTCATAACATCACAGTTCAATAGTCAAAAATTCAAATACAGTCAAAGTCAAAAAATTGCAAAAATGGCTGAAATTCTCACCTGATAACAGAAAGCCTTGCGTTTGGTGGCCTAATTTCATACTTCACTTGGACTCACAGCCACGCAAAACGTATGCCACCATGAAGAAAGTATATAAGGAGTATATACCAGATAGAACTACAATTATGAAGTGGCAGAAGAGATTTAAAAGAGACGACTTGACCCTGGATGACAACTCCAAACATTGGAGGCAAAAACTTCACAAGTCACAGTGGAAGAAATTGCCAAGAGTGTTTGACATGACAGGCATCAAAAGTACATAACATACAAAGGGCAATATTTTGAGAAAATGTGAAATGAGACACTGTGTATATACATCCATAAAATCTAAGATGTGCTCATTGTAATTTAGTATCTTAAAATGTATTTTTGGGCATACTTCTTATAGCTACACAAAATGGTATTTGTTGATTAATTATTTCATATTTTCAATTTTTTATTCCTTTTGATGTGACTGTATAACCTGTCTCGCCCTACCCAAACTCACCAACTTGATTTTATTATAACATCAATATAGTTTTATCAGTCAACATGAAAATTTGTAGAATGATCAAAATGTCTCTAAGGAACATTTACTGAAAATTTCATGGAAAAATATTAACCATTGATAAAGTTAAAGCATATAGTGCATTACTTCTGGGACAACCCTCGTATAATAGAACAATTTTCAACAACCCTGGTTCGAGATATAACCATTTATGTGACATGGGGGTCAAAAAACACCTTTTCAATTTTCATCGATTTTGCGAACAATAGCCTATTTCTACCAAATTTTACTGTTCAGTTAAAAATTGCAACATTGTCATGAGTTTTTAATAATTGGATATTATATATTGTTTTCATTCAGTTTTTGAACCATTCATGCTCAATAAACATGTGTATGCTTATAAAACAAATTAATTTCTTCTTAAGTCTGTCCAAATATGGCTCAATAGACCCAACCCCCGGACCAATCCTCTGATCGTATTATTCGCTAAAGACGTGAAAGCCATTGGTATAATTGATGGATCTCTGTGGAAGTACCATAGAGCTCGTTATTATTCATTATTTCAGTTTGTCTACATCCCCGATAGGCTAGTGATCTTCATAGATCAACTGTTCTAAATGCCCGAAGTACTATACATGTAATCAACAGGATAGACTCTATATATCAGTAAGCAAGAATAGGTACATTTGCGATAAAAGGGTTCCCAAATCGAGATGACATTTTTCTGAAAGGGTAGTGGTGTCCACTCGGAGTTTCCCAAAAAGGAAAGACCGTACAGGCCCTGTTTTTGTTGAACCAGGAGCAAAAATATACTCTGAATGTTAATGACACGAGGTGTTAAAAAGGACTCCTCAAGGATATAAAAAACATGTGAAAGAAATTTCATTTTCTGATAGGAAAGTGCTTCATCACACAGGTCCAATGCTACCCTGGAGTTTTTGGAGATTCGAAATGACACCATCTTTAGCCCTGACAAATGGCTTACTGACAGTCCAGATGCCAATAATGTTGATTACCACACCTGGGGGCATCTAGAACAGTTGTTATTTAAAGATACCCAGCCTATCAGGGATGTAGAGGAACTAAAAGAAAGAATAACTAGCAGTTGAATGGTACTTCCGCATACATCCATCAATTATGCCATCAACCAATGGCTTCAGCTTCTTAAGCGAATAATCTGATCAGAGGATGGGTCCGGGGGATGGGTCTATTGAGCCATATTTGGACAGACTGAAGAAGAAATTAATTTGTTTTATAAGCATACACATGTTAATTGAACATGCATGGTTCAAAAACTGAATGAAAACAATATATAATATACAATTATGAAAGACTCATGAAAATGTTGCAATTTCTAACTGATCAGTAAAATTTGGTAGGAAAAGGCTTTTGTTCGCAAAATCAATGAAAATTGAAAAGGTGTTTTTTGACCCCCATGTCACATAATTGGTTATATTTCTATATGGAGTGGTTGAAAATGGTGCTGTTATATATCATTTTGTTGCAAATTAAATTATCTTTAAAATGATATATCATTGTTGGTGTACATGTTAAAAAATAAATATTTATCAGGAGTAATGGCTAGGGGGTGTTTTTTTTGGCCCACCCTGTAGATTGCAAACATGCATTTGGTATACAATAATGTGGAATAACATTGCATATGATCTCACTACATATGTGAGAAATATCTTGAGACATCATTAAACTCGAAGAAATCGAACATGTTTTGTCAGCTAACGCAACTCAACTACGGGTTTGACACATGTCGATTGGCTGACTAGTGTATGTGTGTGTGCATGTCTGTATGCAACAGTGTCAATCGTATAGAAATAGTTACAGAACATGAGACATCATTAAAATCGAAGAAATCGGACATGTATTGTCAGCTTATGCAACTCAACTACGGGTTTGAAACCTGTCATACTTGGCTGACTAGTGTATATGTGTGTATTTGTCAGCTAATGCAACTCAACTACGGGTTTGAAACATGTCATACTTGGCTGACTTATGCATGTGTGTGTATGTATGTCTGCATGCAACAGTGTCAATCGTAAAGAAATAGTTACAGAACATGAGACATCATTAAACTCGAAGAAATCGGACATGTTTTGTAAGCCAATGCAACTTAACTACGGGTTTGAAACATGTCATACTTGGCTGACTAGTGTATGTGTGTGTATATGTATGTCTGTATGCAACAGTGTCAATCGTAAAGAAATAGTTACAGAACATGAGACATCATTAAACTCGAAGAAATCGGACATGTTTTGTAAGCTAATGCAACTCAACTATGGGTTTGACACATGTCGATTGGCTGACTAGTGTATGTGTGTGTATGTATGTCTGTATGCAACAGTACTAATTGTAAAGAAATAGTTACAGAACACAGGAAGAAAAATAAAACATCTTAGAGTACACCGGTCATTAGAAAAACAAACCCAAACTATTCAAAACCATAATCTAGAGTGAAAAGAAACAGTGTTTTAAACCCCACCGCCTATATTTGATAAATGTTATTCACAGGTAAATCATGGGGAGGTCCCCTTAGGTTCCTTCAATGTTTGTTTTATTTCGGTTTAAATAGCTGCTTTTTCGGACCTCATTTGTTACGAAAGTTCACCAAAAATCATTGTTCCATCGCAGGTTTCGAACGGAGGTGACGTCAGTTAAAAAGGCAGACGACTTCGCCAAAACTGGTCAATGGCAACTACATATTAAAGACCTAAATAACAATGCAGAGACAGTTGAAATATACGACGCAGTGTTAATTTGTACAGGCCATCATGCAGACATAAATATTCCAAAAATGCCCGGACTGGAAAATTTTAAAGGTACATATTTATCCCTAAGCTGACACCATGTCTGCATGGGACACATTACTTGGTAAGAAGAACATTAAAAGAGGTATCTTTAAATTCCCAGTCATAAAGAGTTAATCAGCCAAAGTGACCATATCCACCGTTTAACTCACTAACCCTACTATCACACCAAACTAGTTCTCACTACGTTCTTAAAAACGGGCTTCAACTGTGTACGAACGGACTGGACCTACTAAGAACCGTTTGGGATCTATTAACAAACTTCATCGAACGTACTCGAACGGGTAGGTCCTCTAGAACTTAGACAATGCTCAAAATGTTCTCGTGGTCGTCACGTTCTACAATTAGAACGAGTGACAACGTACTAACGACGAGCTGGACGTACTACGAACGGAACCGTCGTACTTCAATCCTACTAGGGACGTTTTAACAACGAGTTGAATTGTCTGAGGACGTGTTGAGAACGAGGTAGAACTAATTGCAAACAGGTTTAAACTGATTGAGAACGTATTTAACACTGCTTATGAACGAGTTGGCAAAAATATAGCTATCACACCAAACAAGTTGCCACTGCGTTCTTCAAAACTGTGTGCGAACGGAATGAACGTAGCTGCAACTTTCTAAGGTCTATTTACGAACTTTATGATCGTTCTCAGACGGGAATGTGATTTTAGAATTTTGAATCGATTCAAAATTCGATGGCGACCATAACGTTCTGTAATCAGGTCATGTTGACCTTCTAGACTAAGGGACGCGTTCTACTACGTTGCACACCGACGTGGTGCGACCTGAACGAACTGAGAACGAGAAGAACGTATTGAAGACTGTTTAAGAACGAAGAAGCTAATTATTTCAGACATATTTCCCGACCACAGCCAGATTGAGCCCGTTTTACGACGTTTTCGTAGGACTGGCAAGAACGGGTAAGAACGAGTTTGGTGTGATATGGGGGTAAATCACTGGACAAACAGGTTGGAATTAACACATAATTATCATTAATAACCAGACATAGTCTGGTTCTGACCTAATTATAACTTTTATTTACTGAATAACCGACCAACTGATTATTGAGACTGATTAAACTTCAAAGGGCTAATTACAAATGGCACGGCTGGAATATAATCTCTTGTCTAAATGAAATGATCAACCTGTCTGAGATAGGAAGTATCTTTCAAAACTTTGATATGATTTTCAATATTTTGTCATTTTGATGAAAATTTTTTGTAATTTAGATGCGAAACCTGAAAAGAAATATTATTCAAGCTAGGCAACTTTTAGAGAAAGTATTTAGATATTCTGAACCGTCAAGAGGGGAAATCATTTAAAACTTGCCATGAATAGGCTTAAACCATTATTTTTCTTAGAGATACATGTATGTCTTGCATGACAAGAATAAATAAATATGAGTAAATTAAATAAAAATGTCTTATGCATGTAGTAAAGCAGTTCATGGCATGTGAATTGTCACTGTTATATTATCTTTGTTTATAGGCTTGACGGACAGCTCAATAAAATGAAAATAAAATTGAACATTAATGAAATTACAAAAATATGTTTCTTTCATTTGGTTGACAATGAACTTAAAAAATATGATGTTTGAATAAAAAATCCAATTTCCCAAAAGTTCATATTCTTAAGCTAGACAAAAGCTACTTTGTTTGTTAACGGATAATTATTGGAAGGACTGGATGGATAAGTGGCAGACAGTTCTTAATTCCTAATGAAAACAAATAATAATCACTTGACTCGATAATCAGTTCGATTCTTGCCATTGGCTACACATTAATAAAAATTGATTATCGTAAAAACCAGTTAAAACACTAGTTATTGTTGATTAATAAGTCTCGATAATCAGTGATAATCAGCAATAATAGTCTCGATAATAGGTTTTAACCAGATAATAATCATGTATTCACTGATTATTGGTGATTGAAATTGTTTATATTTAGTCACTTCGCCCAGTGAATGTAGGTCTAATCTGTTTTGTTTTAAAATGTACAGGTCGTATAATTCACAGTCATGACTACAAAGATTTGAGAGGTTATGAGGATAAAAATATTGTGATTGTTGGAATCGGAAATTCTGGTGGAGATGCCGCTGTAGAACTAAGCCGTGTTGCTAAGCAGGTGCGTGTACGAAGTATACTTTATGACTGACTATATGTGGGCACATAACTTTATTTGTTCAAAGCCGCCGTTTTGAGGTAAACGATTGTTTGAGAGTATGTCTGGTTTCTGTTAAGACGAATTGTTGACATTTTTATGATGATGGAGCAAATTCTTGAGCGATGTGGTTATGACATTTTTTGTAAACGTTCGTAGAGCTATGTGGACGTTGTGAACACAAGCTGTTAGCAAAGAAAATCGATACATTTTATAGAGATTGAATATACGTCATGCTTCTGACATGACATTTTGTATTGAACTATTAATATGACACAAATATGAAATATTGACTGAAACCATATGCGCACTTCACTGCATCTCAAAATCAATGCATCAAGATATTTCAATGGAGTCTGATCGTGAGTGTTCGTATTCTTAATGATATATCCATCTATTCTGATTTACAGGTGTACTTGAGTACGAGGAGGGGTTCATGGGTATTAAATAGAGTAGGGTCGGCAGGTGTCCCACAAGACCTAATATTCACCAAACGCGTTAATGAGCTCCTCAAAGATTTACTTCCGATATCCTGGGTAAATTCCGTGGCCGAGAGTATTATAGAGAAACGTTTCGACCACGAAAAGTACTCGTTAAGGCCAAACCATCGATTCTATTCACAACATCCTATGGTAAACGATGATCTACCAAACCGAATTATATGTGGTGCCATACAAATACGACCAGATATAGATCACTTTACGGTAAATGGCGTGAAATTCGTAGATGGAACCGAGGTCGAAGCAGATGTCGTTTTTCTAGCAACAGGTTACAAATTTGGATTCCCGTTTCTAGACGACAGCGTTCTTGATGTACACGATAATCATGTTGATTTGTACAAATATGCATGGGCTCCTGATCTGGAACACCCTACACTAGCGGTCATAGGGTGTATCCAGCCATGGGGTGCAATTAATCCAATCGCAGAACTACAGTGTCGATGGGCTGCGGCTGTTTTCAAGGTATATATAAGCCAGGGTCGGGTGTACATGGAGTATATATTCATATGGATAATAAACAATACGAACCATTTTGGTGGATACGAATTTACTGAACCTATAAGTAACCGTTCCTCTATTATAAGATACATAATTATAGAATACATTATATATCGGGTATCCCAAAAAATTAATCTCTTTTTGACAAGCATTTTCTCAGCAATTGATGACTCAAATTTATTGGAAATGCCTATAAAATAGCCTAACAGTATCATTAGCAAGTTGAACAAATATGAAAGAGATCAGATCCACAATATGTGAGTTTTAGCAACTTCAAAAACCCATGTAAAGAAATCCAATATAAAAACAGCTTGTCTGTGCTAGGTTTATTAAATTGTCTCATTCTTCTCTGTTTCCAAAAACTTGCCAATGATACCCTGTGGCTACTTAAGAGAAAATTTTGATAAAAAGACATCAATTGCTGAGAAAATACTTGTCATAAAGTTATTCACTTTTTGGGACACCCGATATATTGCGTTCTTATAGGCTTGCCTGTTATATATCATACACGTATCTTGCTATATGTAAATAGTAATATTTTCACCTGATATAAAAAACAAATATGATCAATGTGTACTTTAAGGTCAGTATTGTATACATATATAGTATAAATCTATTGTATTGGTTCAAATATATTGAAATGAAATGATCTGTCTTAATTAGCACTGAATGTTCCGACTCAATAACTGAAGCACAAGAAGGGGCGTAATTATTAATTGTTTGGCATCACAAAGGGGTGGTTGCATAGTGTTACAGTACCACCCCAGACGTTCGTCTGGTGGCGAGTTTTGATGTCCAGTGTTGCTTTCCATAATATGTCAACAATTGTTTAATTTCATATAACAGGATCTTAAGAGGTTCTGGACAAATCATTTGATTCTGGACTTGACATATTTTTTTTCCAACGAAATCACATCCAAGGGTTGAATTTTTATTGGATATTTAGAGAGCGAGTCCTGTATTGATTTCAATAAAAAGGTTAAAATAGAACGCTATTTGAGAGTTAATCTTATACTTTCATTACATTGATAAATTAAGGCAAATTCTGAAAAATGTTAAAGTGCATTTTTTATGAAATATTATCCAAGTATTTAGATGAAACGGTCTTATTTAAATACAAATCATAACATGATGATATTTTTTCATAAAATATTTCTTCAAGAAATTCAATTGAAGGCTCAAGATAAAACGAGCTAATTTAGGTGAAAACCCTTACATGATGATGTGTTTTCATGACTTCTTTCATAAAATTCCATCAAGGGGTGAAAATAAAATGATCGAATTTAAGTGATTTAAGGATCACGAGGATAGGTTTTCTTGGATATTTTCTATGAAATCCCATCCAGTGGTCAAGGTAAAATTTTTATTTGGTATATTTGGTCACATGTTCGAACCCATAGAACCATATAGGAACGTCATTTTGAATGTTACGTGATAAATCCATATAAGGCTTTTAGAACAATGTGGGGAAAGATGAGGGGAAACCCCTGACACCTGTTCACGATTTTATCCGAACGTTCATCGGATCATTTCGGTTTTTATGCACTTCATTATTTTACCGAAGTTTGCCGATTCGATTCGTCGTATTTCGGAATATTGGGGACAATTTTATACTCCATTGGGAGTATTTTTAATCTACTTCTTATTACGAAGATTCCCGAACCTTGTTCGGATTAATCCGGATTTTCTGACCTACTTCATCTACCGAGATTTAACGAGTTTACATTCGGCTCATTTCGGAATCCTGGTGACAATTTTATACTCCATTGGAGTATTTTTGATCTACTTCTCTGGATTTTTGATCTACTTCTTATGACGAAGATTCCCGAATCAGTTCGGATTAATCCGGATTTTCTGACCTACTTTATCTACCGAGATTTAACGAGTTAACATTCGTCTCATTTCGGATTCCTGGTGACAATTTTATACTCCATTGGAGTATTTTTGATCTACTTTTTCTGGATTTTGCCCTACTTATTATAAGTTGACAGCAAGCAAATCAAAAAGTTCGCCATGAACGGGTTTCGATCGACTACTAGAGAGTGGAAGCTAAACACGCTAGCCATGAGGCTAACGTTCACCAATGTGAGATGATAAAGGTATCATATATTTATACCGAGCGTCAATTTAGAATGATCTTCGCTTTTGACTCCACTTAGATACAACTCGTCAGTTGTATCCAGAATAGGTGAACGCCTATGGTGTTAGTGAATAACCAAATCCCAGGCGAGTGGTTCGTATCCCACCGTGATATGTTATTTTTGCTTTATTAATACGACAGAAAGGAGCAAGGTGTAGGTTTGAAAACAAGACGTACGTTTATTTCAATACAGTTTTAGAAACATTAACCTCTGATAATTGAAGGATTTCCACTTCTGAAGCGCGACTAGATCTAAGAAGTTCATTAATCAAGACAGTGTAAACCTTTTAGATATATGTTAGACAATGTACACGCCCCGTGTGGAATCAACTAAATGTTACATTTTGGATTTCATTGAGATCCTGTCATAGTCCTAAAATTTATTTTTCTGGAACATCATTTTTTCAACACTGATACAAATTTCCCTGACATTTCCATGACATGTCTACAGTTTCAAAATTCCCGGACTCTTTGGCCCTTTTTGACCTTATTTTAAAATTCTCTGACATTTCAGGCACTTGGAAAATTAAATCAAAACCCTGACATTTCCAGGTGTGTACGAACGCTGGAATTATTCTTAAAATATCCTTCAAACAAAAGGGGAAAATGCTATGCACAAATACTCTAATTTAGTTTGTATTGTAATGCGTTGTATTACATTGCATTGCATTGTATTGTGTATTTATTTGAGTGTCCGTTGACGGTAAAGAAGGCATTTAAAAGTTATTTGTGAAACTTAATAAACTTAATAAACAATACTTTAACAGTAAGTATATTTCATTTTTTCTCTTGTTCTCTACAATCTGCGTTGAGGACACTGAAGCATATGTCTGTATTTTGTTGGTGGGGAACAGCGTATCCTATCGTTCACGGAGCAAATTCAACTCTCGTTCACGAGTACCTTGTTTTTGGGCTCTTGTCCCAAAGATAACGATTGTATAAGGTTGCATAATCAGGATTATGAGCTTTCATGTTCTCATAGTTACATCTGTTGTAAAACGAATCTTGTCGCAACCTCTGCGAATCACGACAGCATAACATTTGAATCACGTTGACATCATTGCAAAATTAGGCTAAATATGCTAAGTCAGATAAATTATTTTATCTGTTTCAAAATGTTTCATTTTATTTTGCCTATATAAAAGAGATTGAAGAAGATAAGATAAACTGTTCCGTAATATATATTGTGTTTTAATAACCTTTTTTTTAGAATCACAATGTAAAATAAATCCCCCGTTCCTGCCATTCTGGTAACGCCATGCAATGGATGCAATTCAAAGTGAGAGAGAGATCTATGAATAACAGAATGCGTCCATGCCATTAATTTGGCCAAATACATGGCATGAAACTGACGTAAGTTTAAGTAAGCTACGCCCCCCGCTTTCTCTGGTAAATTATGACTTTATTTTTCGGAGTAATGGGTTTCGGACAACTGGGTTTCGGAGAACTGGGGTGTACCCGATTACGCTTTGCACGCCGCTTTAAAATCCCGATGTCTCCAGAGGTAGTTTAATCCGGTAGCCGACAGGCGTTTCTTGCATTATTGAATACAAGCTAACCTTATATTCGCGAATGCAACTAACGCCTTCCGGCTACCTGATTAACCCAGTATAATATGACCAAGTCATTTAAATATGAATGGAATAGTGGCAGGTACTATTCGTATTGACATGAGTTTCCAGTAAAATAATAGGTTAATCCGGTAGCCGACAGGCGTTAGTTGCATTTGCGAATACAAGCTAAGACTATGATTTGGGAATGGAAGATTTCAGCTTCCGGATTAACCTACCATTCTATGGGCGACTCATTTAAATATGAAAAGAACCTGACAATATTCCATTAATATTTTAATGAATTGCCCATAAAATAGTAAAGTAGGTTTATCCGGTAGCCGACAGGCGTTAGCGGCATTCGCGAATACAAGCTCCTTTATTTCATAATTTGGGAAATATATATTTTCACAATATTGAAATAGATGGTGGTTCAAAGTGGAATACATATCATACAAGTGTCACAGATATTTTTAGTGCATATATGGTCTGTCTTTGCATGACTTTGTAGAACATATCAAAACCCTGGGATCCACAGGGTAACAGTAAGTACATTTCGTTACATCTTCCGAAGTTCATGCTTCAAAGTTGTAAAAGGGTAATCCTTTTTTGAGTACGAAAGCGTACTTTTTGTTCAATAGCCTTTCCAAGCTGCTAATCTTTTGAGTGCATCGTGCATTCAACGAATTGTATTCACTTATTAACCAATCAGTGCCAGGAACAAAATGCACGCTTACTTTTTGGGCTAAGTTTAGTGTTTTATGAAGCATGCTACATACAAATGTTACGCTTTTGCTCATTTACTTTGAGAACTATCTATAGGTACACATTACCAATTGACTCCTAGATTTGAGTGAACAAGTACCTCGTATTTTTCATTTTTCGATATTTTGAGATTTGTTGGCTGATGAGTAACTTGATATTTTATGTCTAAATATATTAAAGTGGTTAATAGTAATAGTTTTATTGTACACCATAAACTGTTAACGTTTTAGAATTGGGACACAATATATGATTTGATAATAGAACAATACATGTATATGTCTTACTCTAAACTCGGTGGTTTGTTTGTTAGTATGTTTTCTTAACAGCTCAATAACTGTTGTATTAATAAGGCGTTATACTATGAAAAAAAGATTGAACGATGTAGGCATAGGCAGAGGGAGTATCACACTACCCTACCACGTGAACACATTTAAAAAGAATACAGGGTACAGTTAAGTTGCAAATAGAGCGGGTATTATTTGTCCTTTTCCATAGGACTTTTCTGGTGATAGTGCGTTGCAAACTGCTCGATGAATCTATACAATGTAAAATCTAGTATTCCTCCAGAACTATGGAAATAAACAAAGGTCCTCCATTTGCAACTTCACTGTAGCCTGTATTCCTTTTAAAGAAATACGGGCTACAGTATTGGGGTATAGTAGTTTGATTTTTCAATATATCACTAATCTAGCTTCTTTCCTTGAAAAAACATGAGTTTTGATGTACGTATATCAAACATGGGCCACTGCACTATATTGAACCAGGGTGCCGGTGTTACATAATGTAATTTTATGGGCCATCATACAACCACCTCTTGCCCACTTTATTCATGTTTTGGATTACAGTTTATACACAATGCATAAACAGCATGAAACAATCATTTCTACTTGTGGATTAGATTTGTATACATCTCTTTGTGAACTGAGTGTTATGTTCAATATGTGAAAATATCATGGACTTAAATTGTACTTATATTTATAACCTGACCACATTTGCATATGTTCAACAACTGACTGAGTGATCGAGTTCATCAAACAATGTTCGTAATAGAGGTCATGAACTTTGCTTTGTTCATAATCCTATTTCTGCAACTGACTCATATTATGCATCTTATTATATAATATTATATGATTTATTTTGATTAGCAGTGTCTCATAAGCCATTGGTGGCTCGAGGCTTTTTGGATGATTGTACAGATGTATATGTATGAAATTAGCATGCGACACTTAAATAAAAAACAATACAATATTAAGCTTATAAACTTGCTGATCATATGATTTTAATATTTTAATACTACATGATACTCATATCAAAATACCAATGTATTTGTGAACAACTCTTACGTTTGATATTGTACGAATTTTCTGATTTGCTGTAGTAGTCGTAAATGCAACATATAACAATGTTATGTTACTTTGTGTCATATGAAAAATAAATTCGTACAAAGATGAGTTTTATTTCGTTTGTTATTCAATGTAGAATACACGTTGTACATTATTTCATGTATAGGATATTGACAATAATCAGACTATCGTATTACAATACAGAAGAATAAAAGAGATAATGATATATGCATTCTAATTTGAGATTGACATGCGTAAAGGTATCAATATTTTATCTAGTATTTCATTTTATCCCTCCCATCCCATCCCACCCGCTCATCATCCCCAGAAAATTCGTTCGGTGCTTTTAAATGTTAATAGTTCGGTTGAGTTTTAAAAATAAATCTTAAGCACTTTAAATCTAGATAAAATATTCATGATTTGATTGTGATTATCATTTCTAATTATTACATGACGGTTCCATTACATTCAATGCGTATCTAATCCTCATAGTTTATACTCGATTTTCGACAGGTAAAGGTAATATATCAACCCTCGGTCCCTACTATTTCTCGTGTAGATATATTGCATAACTTTCTCAGATATATCCTGTATATTAAATACATTAAATAACATTATATATGTTAGTCTCAGCCTAGACAGTATATATATCAATTTTATTGGATAATGCCATGGGCTTTCCCACGATAATGCGTTAATTCGAATGAACTTCAAATGAAATTCAACATCCAAAATGTGTTAATTTGATCATCCACCGTGTAACTAAAAGCATATTCATGGCCTATTTGCCTTAAAATACGATTGTGATTATGATTTCGAATTCTGTTCTCCATATGTAAAATCTAGAAACATAACGGAGTTAAGTTACACGAAATTCAGCCAACTTGAACATGAAGTCTTGTCAATTTACTTAATCGTTGATTGATTTCTAGGTTTATTAGAATTAAAAGAACGAACGTTTCATCAAACGAGTCCTATATTCAATATCTATTCGTTGGGCCCATTCTTTAAATGTAACTATATTCTTTTAACTTTAAAAGTATCTGTTTAGTGCTACTTTAACATATATTCATTATTTTTATCCGCACAACAGTATCAAACGTTAATGCACAACTAGCCATGCCAAGACATGGCCACTACCCTCGTCCAAAGTAAAATACAAGGTCCTCATTCTTTAATGATTATGTTTCAATTGATTTAGTTTAGTGATTTAAATGTAGGAAAATGAGTCGCTGTGATGTCATATCTGGCGCAGCAATTTCAGAGTCACTGCAAAAAATTGAAACATCAGTCGGATCATAAGACTAAATAAAAAAGCTATTTAGGGATGAATAACATTCGGTGAAATCCGTGATATCGTTATATCATTCGTTAATTGTCAAAGCTGCGCCCATTTCTCGGTGCAGGCAGATATAAGGCGGCCAGACTGGGCATACACAAAATGTATTGTATGTGCTCCTTAGGTTGCACTCGGGTGCTATCAACATCGAACACACACACGTTTAAGATACACAGAGATAATTAAGGGATGAGTGACAAAGGGATGTTAAAAACAGGTGGCTATTGCAATTGATATTTTAATGTAACTTTAGTATGTAAGAATCTTTTCATCAATAAAAATAACATCTTAGATATTACAGCTACATGTACAATGTGAGTGTATTTAAAAATGTAGTACATAGCTAGTTCAATCTATAAAGATGTCTGATGACAAAAAGCTCAATTTTCCTTGATGTCGTGGTCAATGGGACTTTAACACGTGAACTAATGTTTTTTATTTTTTTGTTTTAAAGTCACTTATAGCAAACCTAATCTAACAATTATCTCACTATATGCTTATGACATATTCATGTATACGTTGTTTGTCTTTTTTTCAAATCAACCCACGGAAATATGCAATACACCAAGTTAAAAAAGTGGTACGAATCATAAAAGCGACGTTGGGTGTTTCACTAGAATTTTTATATGAAAAATCTAGAAATATTACCCAAATTAAACTATGACTATTCAAAAGAAGACATTCAAATCTATATTATGTAAAAAAATCAAATTTGTCCGAAGCAGGGATAACGCTCAATTAGAGTGACGAACTTTGTTCTCCAAACCGAGAATGGTCTTTTATGAAAAAAGTTATGAAAACACATCACCAGATCATGTAAAGCTGTTTTACCTAAAAGATCGTTTTATCTTCACCCTTCGATTGGATTTCATGAAAAAATATTTTTATGAAAAAATAGGATTTGTAGGATATCGACGCTCTAACATGTAGTTTAATCACACGCAGGTATCTGGTTTTATTGCGTGTAGAATGTATCGATATCAGGACCGCTACATGCCAGTGACCTTGCTCCTTTCTGTCGTATTAAAAAAGCAAAAATAACATATCACGGTGGGGTGCGAACCACTCGCCTGGGACTTGGTTATTCACTAGTACCACAGGCGTTCATCTATTCTGGATACAACTGACGAGTTGTATTTACGTGCAGTCAAAAGTGAAGATCATTTTGAATTGACGCTCGGTATAAATATATAATACTTTTATCCTTTCGTATCGGTTGCACGTTAGCCTCATGGCTAACGTGCCTAGCTTCCATGCTCTAGGTTAGTCGATCGAGACCCGTTCATGGCGAATTTTTTGATTTGCTTGTTGTAAAGATATAATAAGTAGGGCAAAATCCAGAAAAAGTAGATCAAAAATACTCCAATGGAGTATAAAATTGTCACCAGGATTCCGAAATGAGACGAATGTAAACTCGTTAAATCTCGGTAGATGAAGTAGGTCAGAAAATCCGGATTAATCCGAACAAGGTTCGGAAATCTTCGTCATAAGAAGTAGATCAAAAATACTCCAATGGAGTATAAAATTGTCACCAGGATTCCGAAATGAGCCGAATGTAAACTCGTTAAATCTCGGTAGATGAAGTAGGTCAGAAAATCCGGATTAATCCGAACAAGGTTCGGGAATCTTCGTAATAAGAAGTAGATTAAAAATACTCCCAATGGAGTATAAAATTGTCCCCAATATTCCGAAATACGACGAATCGAATCGGCAAACTTCGGTAAAATAATGAAGTGCATAAAAACCGAAATGATCCGATGAACGTTCGGATAAAATCGTGAACAGGTGTCAGGGGTTTCCCCTCATCTTTCCCCACATTGTTCTAAAAGCCTTATATGGATTTATCACGTAACATTCAAAATGACGTTCCTATATGGTTCTATGGGTTCGAACATGTGACCAAATATACCAAATAAAAATTTTACCTTGACCACCGGATGGGATTTCATAGAAAATATCCAAGAAAACCTATCCTCGTGATCCTTAAATCACTTAAATTCGATCATTTTATTTTCACCCCTTGATGGAATTTTATGAAAGAAGTCATGAAAACACATCATCATGTAAGGGTTTTCACCTAAATTAGCTCGTTTTATCTTGAGCCTTCAATTGAATTTCTTGAAGAAATATTTTATGAAAAAATATCATCATGTTATGATTTGTATTTAAATAAGACCGTTTCATCTAAATACTTGGATAATATTTCATAAAAAATGCACTTTAACATTTTTCAGAATTTGCCTTAATTTATCAATGTAATGAAAGTATAAGATTAACTCTCAAATAGCGTTCTATTTTAACCTTTTTATTGAAATCAATACAGGACTCGCTCTCTAAATATCCAATAAAAATTCAACCCTTGGATGTGATTTCGTTGGAAAAAAAAATGTCAAGTCCAGAATCAAATGATTTGTCCAGAACCTCTTAAGATCCTGTTATATGGTAATGCAGATTCTGAAGGTTTTGGTCACAATCAATTTTGAATGCTGTTTTCTTTGTTTTCTGGATTCCAACGCTGTGTTTTGTCATCGATTCTTTACTTCCTCATATAGGGGGACATCCAACTCCCACCAAGGGAGGAAATGTGTGAGGATATCAAAAAGAAAAAAGAAGACATGTCTGAGAGATATGTGAAATCACAGCGACACACAATTCAAGTAGATTGGATTCCATTCATGGATGAGATTGCAGAACAAGCTCAGTGTAAACCAGATTTATGTAAGTATATATTTTGTTTGTTTGGTTGTTTTATATTTGTATTTCCAATTCTATGGTTATCCATGTGCCATGACACCGTTCATTGGTAGATACGTGAACCTTTTGAAGAAAATTTCCGTTATCTGTTCCTCATGGTCATTCAATAGAACACGTTCATCTATATACCTCGTGCTCAATGTATGTACAAAGTATTTCAATGATGTTCTATGTTTGGAAATTGACAATATGTGTTTATAATATATGGAATACGAACTGTCAATGCTTTGTATATTTTGTCTGAAAGTACAATACTGCTGTCTATAGGTCCGGTCTTCAACGTTAGACTCGTATACGTTATTGATACATTATGTTTCGAGATTACTAAAGTTAATGCAAGACTGATACTGTAACACTTTTGACATCAAGAAAAAAAACAAAAAATTGAAACCAGTAGCAGCTTGGTAAACACCACAAGTGTCTAAAACTACATTTTGCTTTTAGGGAAACTTTTCAAAGAGGATCCTCGCTGTGCTCTTAATTGTCTATTTGGCCCATGTACTCCTTACCAGTATCGGCTACAAGGTAGGAAACCATGGAGTGGAGCCAAAGACGCCATTAACACCCAATGGGAAAGGGTATACGCCCCTTTGAAAACGAGGCCAACCGGAAATGACGCAGGTGGTGAATCACGGCTAAAGACGTTTATCTTTCAGATGCTATTATTCATGGTGATCGTTTTCTTATACAAAATGTTCATGTGAACCATTGTCTAAGATTTAACCAAACAATCCAAATAGACGTCTTTCCAAATGAGACGTCCAGTTGTCGTAGAACTTTAGTTGTGTCAATGTTTGACAAGGTTTGACAATACTTATCAATATCTCAGAGCTGGTTTCTCAATGGACGTATCAACACATAAGAGTAATAAATCGACATTGTATGTCCAGAAATTAGCATAGGATATCTAACAATCAATTAGGATTCTAACAATCAACGCTGAATATCGTATACACTTAAGTCTCAGTTACATTTGCCCTACGACGGATATACGATTACCATGACTTCACAAAATCGCGCGCTGCAGAAAACCTACATCCTACTGCTTGTCCCTACATATTATGTTGCATATTTCCCAGGATTTTGGGAAGCTACGGCCTTTGTTCGGTTGCTTTAGTTAGAATGTGTCCGAGGAACAAGAATCATGTTATCTTACAGAAACACACGACAGAAAATATCTATATATCTACATTCAAGTTAATGCAATTATCGTACTCTCCAATTCACCTAAGAAACATGACTAAAATCTTAGGATTTATTATAAAAATAGATGTTCGTTATCTAATATCATATTCCAGGGGGTACCCCCGTGTTTCATTTAAAGCTAGAAATGTATTTGAGTAAAAGTGACACTGGGATCAAATGTTCTGACAATTCTTTTGCCAATGTTTTGCCATATATTCGAAATCCAACCATTTCAAGATATTTCAATGTCAAGGCCACCATGACAAAGGGTTATACATCTATATTTGTAGTTTTCATTATACGTTTTTTCTAAATTATATACACATGATAAATGAAGTAAATTATGAAAGTGCATTTTCATTGGTACTTGTACTGATAAAAGTTAATTCAATCAACCATCACCTCACATCACTTTTAGATTTAGATTTTTCTCTGAACATTTTCAACAGCGCCATCTGTGAAGTAATGTCTTAATAAAAGAAATATAAAAAAATGGACCATATTATGTAATTTTACTGACTTATTTACACTTATTGTCTCTAACATGTATATAACTCGGGTGTCTCATAGGTCGGTGTAGATATCTGTTAATATTGTTTTAAGTAGCATTCTAGAGTATGTACAAGAGTATGCCATAACATATCCATAAGTACATGGGTGATCAATACGTAATGATAATGATGCTTCCATTTAAAGAGGTTTCAATTGTATAACATAATATTTGGCAAAAATCTGCCAAAATAAGTTCCTTTAACTACTGAGAGACACGATACATGTTACAATATGTATGATTTGGTAGTTACCTAAGTAACATAGGGGTATGCTACCTGGGGCGATGACTCTCACCTCCTGGTCGGCATTTTATTTTATTTCAACTTTGTATTTTTCCATTCTTGTCACAGCTGTTAGTGATTGAATTATTTGAAATTTGAATATTTTAGAAATTATGTACTAGTTTTCTAAATAATTAATTTCCTGTTGTACATATATTTATGTAGTTATGTATGTCATAGGTGCTCATTGTTCACAAGATAATGGGACATGCGAGCGAAAACCAATCTATTTGTCATGGTAGCCATTTAGAGAGTACATGATACAATTAGGTCTTTGAGAAATGCCTTTGATGACTCTATTATGTATGAGCAAAGAGTGCATGCTTGTCACAAAATATTCGAGGATGGACGGCTCACATCAGACTATCATCATGGCCGACCACAGCCTGCCTGCCTGCCTGCCTGCCTGCCTGCCTGCCTGCCTGCCTGCCTGCCTGCCTGCCTGCCTGCCTGCCTGCCTGCCTGCCTGCCTGCCTGCCTGCCTGCCTGCCTGCCTGCCTGCCTGCCTGCCTGCCTGCCTGCCTGCCTGCCTGCCTGCCTGCCTGCCTGCCTGCCTGCCTGCCTGCCTGCCTTTGGATGGTAACATTATAATTTTAGGCTCCTGACTCTGAGTGTACTAGGATTCCGCAGTCTTTTATTGAGACATCTTTTATTGTTATATTTTCAATTAATGGACCTGTATATGGTAAGTTGAGATTGTTCGCAGCTTTGAGATCCAGCATTTGAAATTGTTGAAGTTCTTTGTTGAAGTGTTTCTCGTAGAATTCCTTAGACATCGGGGTAACACTACTGCCGGAATCCATTACTCCAGTTATTTGAATTTCTCCTTTCTATATATTCCATACTGGTGTTTTTCCAATAATCTTTTCCATGTTTGGATGAACAGTTGTACCAGCTGTTACATTTGTTATCACTTCGTTTGATGTGGCTTCTGTATTACTCTGTTTGTCTACGTCTTGATTACTTTGATTGTTGTTGAATTGATTGTATCCTCTTCTATTGTAGTTAAATCCTCTTGAGCTGCCAGAACCCCTTCTGTTGTTGTACTGACCCCTGTTCTGTCCTCAACCAAATCCATTGTTGAAGTAATTATGACCCCTAAAGCTTTGCTAGTTTCTTTTTAAAGGCATTGTTGTTGAAATTGTTTGAGTTATTTTCAGAGCTGTCATTGTTACTACGCTTAAGATGGTTGATCTCCTTCTCGATCTTTTCCTGTTTATCCAAAATCTTTTGTAGTGTAATTTGTAGTGATGAGTCATTGTCTCTTGAGCTAACTGCACTTGAAGAAACGTTCCACTGCTCATTTTCATTCAACTCATCTCGTTCCCATCTTAGTTTAGGCGCATAGGCTCCTACTATCAGCTGTTCCTTCAGTGATTTACCTCCTTCTGGGTGTTCATGGCTTTGTTTTACAATGTCCACCAGCTTCATTAACGACTGTGAATACTGTGATATTGTTTCGTTGTGGTTTTGTTTCTTCATGTAGAGCTCGGTCATTCAATGTTCTGAAGATATCCTTGGGTGTAAATCTTATTTCATGTCGTGGATTTGGTCCTACGTGGTGGATCATTTAGTCAATATTTTCATCATTCTTTTTGATACTCTTTTTGGCTATTTTTGCATCTTCACACCAGTCGTACACATTTTCGTCAAACTTTATAAATTTTAATTACTGTATCAAATGTAATGACGTTAAATGGAGTTAATAAGACATCGTGAAGGTTTACAATAATGAAATATGAAAGTACCTAAATACTATCTCAAAAGGGTGGTGAGTATTAACACTAGTAACCCACTGGTAGACCTGTGGCTAGAAAATAAGTATGGCAAGATAAGTCAAATGAAATGACATAAAAGTTATTAAATAGTTGTTGTCACAAATAACAATGTTAGGATACTATATATTTATTGACAAAAATGTAATGTTATGAAATGTCTATGCACAAATGCCAACACTGCCATATGCAAAATAGAAATACGCAAGTGAATATCTCAAAGAGTATTCAAAATACACAAATAGTATTCACACTAATATAAAATGAAAATGACGTCATTTATATTATGGACGCTGGTTGATAGACATTATAATAAATCTGAACTTATGATATGCCAAATTAAAGATAAATAAATTCCCTATCCACTGGTATGACATATGACGTGTTTTCATGAAGAAAATCAATATTTATTTTTGAAATACGAGTGTTCTATTTTTGGTCCACCCTGTATAAACGCGCTATTTAGTTATATCACGTTTAACAAGCGTAGGCACCTGATAAGTGGATAGACTAGAGGGCTTGCCCTTGTGATGTTAGCAATGTGGATATTTACGTCATGAATTCATTGTACTGAGTCTGCTTTGGAACCACGATTATCTCGGTTTCAAATAAGGTACAATACCCCGGAAGAGGCACCTCGTCCCTTGTTTCACTGCACTTGTTTCAGATCAGTTATACTGTATGTATCGCATAATTGGTGTCGTCTGACATCTAAATACAGGGTAATCAATAAAAATAGAATATTATCTTTTCAATAGTTCATTTCACTTTATACTTATACAAAGATTTCGGTTCCGAATGCCGCCATATATGGTAATCATTGTAATCATATCAATCAAATAAACAGTTGAATAATAAATTATTAACTCATTAATTTAGGAGAATGTATGTATCATATTTTCAGATGATTTCTCCACAAGTATTGGCATGGTGACTTTTTCTTTTATTTTTGGACACCCAATATGTGCTAATAATCATCTCATAATCTGTAGTGCTTGATCTCAGTGACTTGGAGTGTTTCAAAGACGATTTGGGTTGCGATGGACGTCCATTCTGTAAAGCCGACTGCAGATCATGTTCGGAATGTAAATCGAACAACGACTGTAACGAACCAAGCAGGCCAAACTGCAGAAACAATCAAGCAGGGATAATGATATGCGGGGATCCCCACATATCTCAGACCATTAAAGGCGCCGCACA